CCTTTCTGACGCAAAATAAGCAGCAGGAGCTAGTATGACCCACTTAGCAACTGGTTAATTGCCACGTTCCCTCTAATACGCACACTGAAAAGCCATGTGTGACACACATAACATGGCAAGGGATGGACGTGATAAGGGAGGCTTGTGCATGGTACTGTATGTTAAAACCCACACAGACCCAGCACACATGGAAGTCAATTGTGCACATCTTTAATTGCGCAGTGATGAACTATAATGTGCCTTGATTCAATGACGCACATACGGGTCTATATGAGCAGTTTCAATACACAGACTGGAATTTCATGTCTACATTAAAGAAGAGTCAGAGTAAACAATCTGGTTGTGCCAAAAAGTTTATAAAACGTAAGAAACATTTATTGGTCGTGGTTTTATTTCACGTTTAATATATTTCATTATTTTTAAATGGAATCAATTGAACCGGGAAAAAAAAAATTGCAGAATTATGATGTGTATTATAATATAACGAGACCAATGCAACTCCGATGCCTGTTAGTCCACATATTCACTCATCCAATTATTAACTGCTGCTGTCTTTAGTGCAGAGAGTAGTGAGTGACATCTTGAGGATATATGGTGGTATTGCAGGACCATCAAACAGAAAAACTGAATTATCTGTAATTGAAACATTTATTTATACATAGTATTTTTCTGTGAATATCAGTTCAGTAGCAGAAAAAGCTTGGACGGTACAATTATTTAACTTTTTTTATTCTTTTACAGCCGAGTCCAAAAGCAAGTCCCACAGCGAGTCCAAGCGAGACGGCAAGGAGCGCCACAGCCACGGTCACAGCAAGGAGTCCAAGCGAGACTCCAAGGAGCGCCACAGCAAAGAGTCCTCTCATCGGAGAGACAGAGACAAAGATAAAGAGAGAGAAAAACACAAGGACAAAGACAGAGACAAACACAAGGACAAGGACAGAGACAAACACAAAGACAAAGACAGGGACAGAGATAGAGATAAAGAAAAAGCAAGTGGCAATGTAGAGCCTCTTCCAAACAGACGCAACAGTAAAGACCGTACATACAGCGGTGCAGATGCGCCACCTGTTCGCAGGAACAGCAGGGACCACGGCTGCAGCAGTGTGGAGCCCATCCCGTTGATGAGAAGAGACTCCAAGGACAGAGGGCTCAGCAATGGCGATCTGATGGTGAGGAGAGACAGCAAGGACCGGGGCGGGCCACATGGAATGGAGCCTTCGTTGAAAGTGGACAGCAAAGACAGAGAGAGATTGCTAGAGCAGCCGCCTGAGCTGCTACAAAGACAAGACAGCAAGGAAAGGGCCAGAAACGGTGTGGACTGTGGACATGAAAGCAGAGAGAGACTGCTGGATCAGCCACCCGAGCTCTTACCGCGGCAGGATAGCAAAGAGAGAGCCAGGAACGGTGTGGACACAATGCACGAAAGCAGAGACAGGCCACCTGAGCTTCTCCCCCGACAAGAGCGCAAAGACAGAGCTAGGACTGCAGCAGAATTTAGGCATGACAGCAAGGACCACCGTCCTGATGTGTTACCCCAACAGGATGTCAAAGAGAAAGCAAGAAACAACATGGAACACAGACATGAAGGCAGAATAGATCAGCCACCCGAGATCCTTCCGCGACAAGAAACACCCAGAAGCAGCAACGGCAAGGACAAGCTTGGCCATGAACCCAAGCACGAGGGGAGAAATCGGAGCTGCCACAACAGCGGAGATCTCCCTCTCTCTCCTCTGCCCAGGCAGGACAGTAAAGATCTAAGGACAACTGGACTCGAAGTGAGACGGGACAGCAAGGACAGAAGTCTCAACGGCTCAGAGCATCAGCAGCAGCAGCAGCATCATCATTATGATGCCAAAACCACCAAGAGTCCCTCTGCGATGGAGTACAGGTGTGACAGTAAAGAGCGAGGACACCGATCAGATGGCACGCCCCGACGAGATAACAAAGCAAACTACACCACGGACCAATCAATAGCACAAGAGAGGAATGGTAGCACAGCGACAGGGCAGCATTCATCTACCACGACGCCCACTCACCACGGGAGATCATCGGGTAGCCCGCCAACGACTGTGGGAACAGGAAATGGTGAGCGCTTGAACATCAGATTCATTAGATAACGCTAGAATCGGTCATACATTCTTTGAATACTGAGTCAAAAGTATTCTGTGTGAGACGTGCGCTTCCTCTTCTCTCTGCAGATCTGAAAGTAGCACCTAAGTACGGCCGCTCACCTTCTATGCCTGCCAACCCCTCCCCCATGGGAACTCCTCAGAGGAAAGCAGCAGAGACACATAAAAGTCAGGTATGCAGGTTTTCCAGGTTACTTTGAGTGTTTGTTTTTTTTATTCATCCATAAATACGTGTTTAATGTTAAAGAGAGATTCGTGTTTTCGGGGCTTAAACTGTGCACAACTAACTTTGAAGTCAAGCTGTATTGAATCTCCTTAATGCATGGCCTCCACCCCTCAGATGCCCCAGATGCCATGGATCTGCGGCGACACCACGATGCTGGACCAGATTGAGAGGAAACGCACTCTCTGCGCAGAGATCCGCTCCAGACAACATCCACACCTGCAGAGATCTCTGGAAAGGCCTCATCCTCTGGACCGCAATGAGGACCGGCACCAGGAGCGGAGTCAGTGCAAGCAGGAAAGTGCGTCTGTCCTCCCCGGATGGGGGAAAAGCAGCGGGGCCAAAAAGATCCGTCCTCCCCCTTACCCGACACAGAAAACTGTATCCTGGGACACGGCCATCTGAGAGTAACCACACACTTTCACCCCCATGCCACACACAATACGCCCTAGTTACCCAGTCCCTCTTCCCTCTGAGCTGTGCTGATTCTTCCCAGCGACACCAGGGGCATCGGAGCAGCCAATGAGAGCACCCGGGGATGATACTCGCTGATGTCAAAGGACAATGGTGGTTACCATAGCAATATTTCTGCTCGTTCAGGTTGTCATGTTTTCTTATCATCCCGGTGATATTTGATATTTTTCTATTTCCTGTGACTGGATTCTTGTAATATAATTAGTAGTATGGATATTTGATGAATAGATATTTTCTAAATGAGATGGGGATTAAAAAGCAGCTTGAATTATGTATAGAAGATTGAGATGTAATCTAATGTCTAATGTTTTATTTCAATTTGGTTTTGGTTATTTTGCATTTGAAAGCATAATCTATCAATACTTGTACTGTAGTAGCATAATTTTCTTATGCCCAACTGTTTTTTTTGTGCGCAAAAGCACTAAACTATTACAATTTTGTCTATATATACTTTACATTTTCACTGTTGTATTGTACGTTGAGGGGTTTAACGTCTACATGCTTTAGACCCCAGCGCCCTCCTTGCCTGGTCCAGTGCAGTATGTTCTAGAATGTACAACGCTTGGCCCTAGAACAGAAACAGGAAACTTTGTGTGCTTCAGTTTGTATATTACAGTAGAAGCGGTGCAGTCACTACGTCTAAGCCTTTTGAAGCGGTTGAATCGGTTTACATGAAAACCTGTTTTCTGGCATGTTGTAGACAGAGAAAGTGTGAAATGCTGTATATAAAACACTATGAGGGTGGGTTGGGGAGGTAGTAAATTAGAACATTACATTATTAACAGTATAATTTTCCAAACCAGCCAAAGCCTGTTGATGCGAGATAAGCGTGTGGTTGCACTTCGGACAGTTGGTGATCTGAAATCGGGGAGCTGGCGGAGTTCTAGCACCACTACTTTGCCAGGCACACTGCGAGCACCACGACACAGTGTAAATACTCGATGCCAACAACCAGCCCGTACAATCAACACCTGAGCTTTTAGAGCATTTCTTGATTTTTACTGCAGATTATGATAGCCATATGCACTTGCTTCAGAAATAAACTTTCAAGATTATGCTTATATATATATTTTTGAAAATGTTAAAAAGATAGCTGTGCCATGTCCGTTTTTAAGTTATTGGCAGGGAGGTAAAGCCTCAGGGGGCTGGCTGTGTGCGACATGCAGTCATCTGCAATTGGTTGTCTCTGACAATGTTCCCAATTAAATTGGATGGCAACCATTTTAGAGATCAAAACGTTTAAGGACCTATAACATGGCAACAGCTGTACCCTGCCAAGCAGACAGGGGTTGCACAACGGCCTGTACATCTTTGAGGCTTTGTAAAAAAATTAAAATAATGAAAGATTCTGCACTACCCAATCATATTCCGACGCATTTAATCAGACTGATTACATTCTCTTCCCTCCCCCCCGCCCCCTCTCTCCCTCTACCTCAACCTCCTTCTTACATCATCCAAATGTGTTCTCTTCAGCACATTAAAATGCAATGTCGACATTGCCAAAAGAGTGTGGGTTTGACAAATGAGCAAGCCCTCGGTGTGCAAGTGCAGTAACCCCTCACTGGTGAGAATAAATGCTACAGAGGTCCCTCTGTGTTGTACCTGCGTTTGTGTGTGTGTGTGTGTGTGTGTGTGTGTGTGTGTGTGTGTGTGTGTGTGTGTGTGTCTGCGTCTGTGTGTGTCTGTGTGAGGGAGAGAGCTGTGTGTGTGTGCGTGATTGTTTGTGTCTGTGTGCCAAGATACACTGTATGCAAGTTGAATCTTTAAAAATGATTGTTTAAAGACATTCACTTTGCCCTATCCATAAAGTTGGGGGTGGAGGTTGGAAATGTAATAATGATGATGTACAATCTTTTGTGTGTGTATAAAACGTGCACTGTGAAAAGGTAGAGAGAGCACCGCACCGTCAGAGTCCTCTGTCTTATTGCACTGAGTGTCCTCTTGTTTTGCGTAATAAAAAGAAAAGGAAAAAACAATGTTTGAGGAAAAAAGTACTGTATTCTGATTGTCACTTGGGTTCTGTTGAGAGAAATAAATAAATATGAACTTGAAACCCGCTGTGGAAAACTGCACTGTGTTGAAATGATTTATTCACTCCCATCATGGGATTTCTGCATGTTAGCTGTTGTTTTCCCAAACTGAGGAAACTTTTGAACTGTGTATGACTCGCAGTGTTGAAACTTTGTCAAAAGTTTTATTTGAAGACAACAACTTCGATGAAGAAAGAATGATTTTAAAGTATTTATCCAAGTTTGACAATGTATTGTTACAAAATCTTCAAGTAGTCTAGCATCATGATCAACTATATGATTTTAGAAATAGCACCTAGTTGAATAGTGCCAGAGAAGGGACAGAGTGGCAGCAACATGGTATCACATAAAGGTAACACCATATAAATGCTAAGACGCATTTTCTTTGCGGTAATTCATTGTGGTGGCTGGCGTGGTTTGGCTCGCTGCAGAGAGGACAGAGTAGAGTAGTGGCTCAGGTAATGGTGGTGGAGGTGTAATTTCCCTCAGCTGCATCCAATTGCATGAATTGTTTGTCTCCCTGTCTACATAAGCAGTAGTGGCGATCCGGCAGAGGAAAAAGGCAGACGAGGAGGCCTAAGACTAAGAGTACAATTACTGCTGCCAGTTCCAAAATAAAGTTGCATTACTGACCAGCAACTTGTACTTTGTCTCTGTGAAACCCCCACAGAACCCCCTGGTAGCCAAACACACTACAATCATTTATAATCTATTACTCTGAGGGGTCGTCAGAAACTGTTTAGAAACAGGAAAAACTGTAAATAAAATTATTAACTAAAAGCAAAAGGAGCGCCTTTTATTGTTCCCTGAGGCAGACGTGACACTGACTGGCCTTTCGACGCTGCCGCTCAGCGGCCTTGATGGTGCCAGACCTCTGGGTGACAAACTGCTCCGTCTCGCTGACGGTGGTCAGCCAAAAACTATAGATGTTGGCAAAGTAGTGACAAGAGCCGCGTGCACCCTGGCACTCTATGACGGGGTGAGTTCGGAAATCCTTGAGGCAGCTTCCGGAAGAAGCCAGAGACTGGCCGCCCCCCTCATCACCTGCCCCTGTGTGCTGTGGGGAAAAAGTGCAGCAGGGTAGACATCAGGTAATAACACAGCCTGTATATTTCGTGCACACACTTTAGCTTTCTATGAGACTCACCAGGAGGAAAGAGTAGCCCGTCCACAGACTCCTCCAGCCAGGTGGGCATGCGGGGACTTTGAAATCCTGGCTGTGAAAAGCCACTGCAGAAGAAACTGTCTCACACACCACACAGCGGCTGATGTGAGAGCTAATCTCCTGGCCAAACAGGGGCATCATGGGTATGGGAGCAGTGGTGGAGAGCCAGTAGGACTTGTCGTTGCGACTAGAGTAGTGACAGGCGCCTTTGTTGCAGTACGAGAAAGGCATGGTGGAGAAAACTGGGAGGCAAGAACCAGCCTGGCCTACAGGTGGAGGAAGTAAAATAAGAGACAGGGGGAGAGGCAGAGAGAGTAAAAGAGGGCTAATGCATGAATTAAATTCCAACAAAGATGCACTTAAAGCTGACTCATACCTAGATCTTGAGTGTGAGCCTTCTCTTGTCCCTCCAAGTAGACCAAACTGTAGCCCACCCAAAGCAGACTGCTGCCTTCAGGACACTGTGGCACCTGAACTGATTGACTGTGGATTACCAACAAGTAGCCTGACCTTAACGTCTCCCCTTGGCCGGGGTTACCTGGATCACCGGGTGGACCTGGGAGACCTGGAGGATGGATGGGGTTGAACAAGCGGGTGACAGGATGATAACTATACATTTGCGATACATTACCAGTCCAAAGCTTGGACACACTTTCTCGAATGAGAAAATGTGTCCAAACCTTTGACTAGTCAAAACTAGTCACACTAGACAAGTGTTTTTGGATGGGAACCGGCAGTTATCACTTTTGTCTGTTTCTTTGTATATAACTAATATATTTCACTCACAATCCTATCAACTAGTCCCAAGTTAGGTGTTAAGTCTCTGCTTATTAAATGGCTGCATCTGATTGTTTACCTTGAGGTCCACCAAATCCGAGCTGACCAGGATCTCCTGCGTCTCCAACAGGACCATTACGACCAGCAGGACCCGGTTTGCCAGGGACACCCACAAACCCTGTGTGGCCCTTCTGTCCTGGAACACACAATACAAACAATCAAGGACAAACATATTCACATTCAGACAAGGGAGGATGAAAACATACAACACAGCTTCATTCCAATACAGACATGGGAATACATATACATATGCTGAGAATATATAAACTCTTGCCTTTACGTCCTGGAGTCCCAGGAGGACCCCTGTCCCCAGGGAATCCCACAGGTCCAGAGGGACCCCGTGGTCCTGGGGGTCCAGGGGTCTCTTGAGGGGAATAATCACCAGGAGCACCATTTGCACCTGGAAAATTGGTTGGTTTACCGGATGTACTGTGTAAAATAGTACTCAATAATGTTGAATAAAGTGAAAGAAAAAGGTAAAGAATCTTAAGACACTAACTAACTCACTCTAATGACAAAGTTCTTAGAAACACAACACTCAAAGGTTTTATGTTTTATCTGTACAGATGTCTGTGCGCAAAACTGTATCTTCTATTTAATGCGAAAAAGCCTTCACTATGGGTGACATAGTGGCACAGAGCTATAGGTTTACCTCTATCACTGCCCCTCACCTGTTTCTCCAGCTGGGCCTGTTACTCCCTTACGGCCCAAAGGCCCGGGGACCCCGATCTGGCCTTTGGATCCTGGGGGACCAGTAGAACCAGCAGGCCCTCTATCACCTGTGAAAGTCCAACAACATTTAGAGTGACTAAAATGTATGGCAGCACTGTAAATACTGGTGGTGGCGGTCTGTGATTCTAATGCACCTTTTGGTCCGTCAAAGCCTGGGTAACCCTGAGACCCAGGAGGCCCCGGGGGGCCCCCGTTTCCCTTACGACCTGGTAATCCTGGAAGGCCAACTGGACCGGGCTCTCCTTTGGTGAAAATGCTGCTGCCTGGAGAGCCTGGCTCGCCAGGAGGTCCTTAAAACCCAAAGAAAAATTCTAATTGAGGGCAAATAGATCAAAAAGGCACAGATGTCCAGTTAAATATCCAGGCAGAATGTAAATAGGCACGCATACACACCTGAGGGTCCCGGAAGACCTTCATATCCTTGGTCTCCGTTAGGTCCAGGTGAACACTGGCAGAGTGCTCTGCCAGAGTCCCCATGTTCACCAGGTTCACCTGGAAATCCTTGAAGATAAGGGGAGTAAATAAAGAAAAGTTGGATATGTTGTGTCTCTTCACCCCCAGCAGAAAGGACAGATGTCATTGGTTATAAAAAGTATGATACCTGTTGAGCCCGGTGGACCCCTGTGGCCCTTGTGCCCAGGAAAAATATCCCCTGGAGGTCCTTGCTGACCCATGAGACCTTTGACTCCAGGAAAACCATCTGGTCCCGGAAGGCCAGGTGTACCTGTGCCTTAAAGTAATAAATAACTAAACTAAAGTTTCAATAGTAAAATAGCTTAACATCTTATGCTCCAATGAGTCCTGGCTAAGAAAACGACCCTAATTAGTTCACTAATTCTTACACAATGTTTTTTGATTTAACTAAAAGCTGTAATGGACTCAATACTGCGTCAACATCAATGGTACACAGACAAATTAAAAATGATCCCCCTTCTTACCACTTGTTCCTTTTATCCCTTTTGGACCTCTAAGCCCATCCAATCCATCCAGACCCGGTGATCCAGATGGACCTATTCACAGTGCAAGTATAATGTTGTTAGATTATTAAAAGACACTTCTTAGAGTCCCATTGAAACAGAGAGTCAATACAAATACATTTTACAACATATAATGCCTGTTCCCTGACATTATATTCGTACCTGAAGGCCCATATTGGCCGGGCGGGCCCGTGGGTCCCGGACCTCCACGATCGCCTGGAACACCCGGAAAACCTGGACGACCCGATGGGCCACGAGGTCCAAGGAAACCTGTAGAGACGCATACATAAAACAGCTCAAACCAACACATCTATATCAGCCCAGGCTTCATACTACATCCTGTTTTGGTGTCTGAAAGAAAAGTTGGATACGCCATGAACTAGAGCACTCCTTCACTGCCATCGGTTGGCGCGCTACATACCTCTATGTCTAATTGTCATATGTCTAAAAGTTAGCTTCACATTATGTGAGAACAAACGATTTTAATTACTACCACAATGTTTTTTAAGCCTATTGTTTTATTTTATTTTCTCTCTGAGGATTTACAATTGTCAGGTTAACTAACACATAAGAAACACCTTTGAGAACAAAAGCATCATTCATTGTCAAATACTGCAGTACATAAGTTTTCTTGGTAAGTGGAAATCACCTGGTCTTCCTAGTCTTCCCGGTTCCCCGTTCATCCCTCGCTGTCCGGGCTGTCCTGACCATCCCTTGAGTCCTGGGTCCCCTGGATCTCCTGGACACTGCTGGCTGATCGAGGAAATTATTTGTGGATAGGAATGAATTTTCCATTTCACATCCGCTTACAGTATTGTACATACTGCAGTCTTGGACAATGACGGACATCCTCAAGACAAACTTAACTAAAAATGAATTCTCTATTCTCATTCTCAAGTCTATTCTCATCACTTAACTTCTGTAATTTCTGAGATTCAAATCCTGCATTAGTTTAAACTCACTGGGTGCATCATCTCCTGGCAATCCTTTTGGTCCAGGTAGACCAGTTTTTCCATAAGATCTTCCTGGATCACCTGGAACCCATTTGTAAGTAAAATGTATTCATAGATTTATTTTCACAAAGTCCTAAATAGCGTGACAGGAGATAACACATATATTACACAATGTGACATACAAGGGCTAAACATAAACATTTAAGATCAATAGAAACAGGGTTATGAGCAATGGTATTTCCCAAATGGCAGTCTTAACAGGTGTGTCTTGAGCCGATTTTTAAACAAAATCATACTCTCAGCAAATTTTAGGGGTGCAGGCACAGCATTCAATAACTTGGTGCTACTGCCTTAAAGGTTGGTTACCAAAAGACTTAAGGCAATATATTTTGTAATTAGTCTTTCTCTTTAATCATTATGTATTAATATATTTTTGACTCACCCTTGGCTCCTGGAAATCCTGGTAACCCTGGGATACCAATTTCCCCCCATGGCCCTCGATCTCCCTTTAACAGATATCAACATAGTCAAACTATCTACATTACTTGATCATAATAATTACTTTTACGTTTTGTTACGCTTTTCCCATACTGTATGTATAATGTATGATACATATATTAAGTAAGCAGCCTAGGTCAATCCTTTAACCTAATCAATGCTGTTGTCCTCACAAAACACGACATGGCGCATAATGGCTCTGCTTTAGAGACTGTTCCATTCCATTTGGGTATCCATTGGAAAGACAGAGACAAGCCATCTCCAAATTTATGAAGACAATAAATTTCGGTCGTTGTGTACCAGATCGCCAGCATGTCCAGGATATCCTCTTGAACCAGGGAAACCTTTGATCCCTTGGATCCCAGGAGGTCCAGGTGTTCCTGCCCTGCCTGGAGCACCTGGGCGGCCTTTAAACCCTGACGAACCAGGCGGTCCATCAGGCCCCGAATCACCTAGCGCACCCCTTGGGCCCTTTGAGCCTATAGGTGGAAAAATAAATTTGGTAGTCCTGTGCTATTAATCATAATCTATTGTAAGCATGTGTAGTTAAGTCATTAGGATCATCTTTTTTTTTATAGGAATGTGAGGAAAGTGACAGCTTCATTGCCTGCAGATCCTTTTTCTCCTGATTGCCCCTTCCTTCCTGGAAGTCCTGATGCGCCTTTTGTTACATTTACTAACATGGAAAGTCCTCTTGATCCTGGTTGACCAATCATACCTGGATGGGCCACAGAGTTGAGATGAAATACTTATTAACCTACCTAAAACATCATTGTAATTCATCCTTATCTTTTGCCACTTCTTAGCCAGTTTATAACATGTATACATGCAATAACAAGGTTTTTTTGTGGGTTTCATATTGGTGGCTGTTTTCATGGAGTTCCGTGTTTTTTTAGAGTTCCTGGCCCAGAGGTTTTCCACTATTGCCTTGTCCATGCATTAAAGGATTTAACCAGGTGTACTGCTCTATAGGGCTGTATACCTTGGACAGCGTTATGATTACAGTTAAACAGGGGTGGTTTAGCTATGGCTGTGTAGGCATGTTTTACATTAACATAACACTTGTCGATAAACTTGGCAATGTGGTGTTTAAATTGCAATTTTCTCCCATGATGAAAATTGGGGTGTTTGGAGTGCCCTTTAGTTGTCTGCCACCTGTACCGCAGACCTTGAGGCACTGCCATTGGTAACATAAACAAAACAAATGATGATATTACTGAACTCTTGGGGTAGGTAGACTGGCCTGAGAATCGCACATAATAGTTCCACATCATGATTAGAGATAATTTCCTGGAACTGTGTGCTGTCTGCACCATGCGTCATTATAGTTTTGGTATGCATACATGGACTTACCCTTATTACCGGGCTGTCCTTGGGGTCCAGTACCACCAGGGCGACCATCAAAGCCTCTTTCTCCTTGTCTACCTCTGGGTCCTGCAGGTCCAGGACGACCTGGTAAACCTATCTTCCCATTCTTGCCTAGGTCCCCCCTTTCACCTAGATGAATTGTAAGGAAAAGCTTTATTCCAATCAGGACAGATTACTTTAACGGCATGAAGCATTGTTGATAATTTTTAGACTTGTAGATCTAGTTCACCTTTCTGTCCTGGCCAGCCATCGGCCCCAAGATCTCCTGAGGCACCAGCGGGGCCTCTTGGTCCAGCTGGGCCTGGAAAACCAGGGGGGCCAGGAAAACCTTGTGGACCACTTTGCCCATGACCAGGTGGACCTGCAGCACCTTGAAATCCCTTCTGCCCAGAGTGGCCTATGCAACAACATGATAATGAAAACAAATTCATCAATATTATCAGAAATAAATCTCTACTTTTTGAAGGGACATTCATTGAGATGAGTTAATGCGACACAATTTTGCTTGCTGTTACTATATGCCCACCTGATACTCCCCTCTGGCCAGGGTTTCCTTGGGGGCCTGAGGGGCCTGAAGGTCCTCTCAGGTCACATAAAGTGCAGGGTGGACCACGGGGACCAGTGTTTCCAGGAACACCATTGTCACCTGGCTGTCCTTTCCAACCAGGTTGCCCAGGCTGGCCTTGTGCGCCTGTTATTAAAAGGCAGAATTGGTCAATTATTTCCAATTTGGACAGAATGGGAGGTGTACTGCAACTTAAGTAAGTTTAATTCAGTGCTTTAGGTTGCCATGGCTGCTGAGTGGTTTGTTCTTGTTCACCCTAATATGAAAAAAACGTACCTTGAGGCCCTGGATTTCCAGGAATTCCCCGGAGTCCACTAGGTCCACGAGCCCCAGGGCGGCCAGGTGGGCCGGTAGCACCTGGCCTTGCAAAGAGGACATCTCCTGGATCACCCTTCCTACCTTGAAGTCCTGGCAACCCAGGAAGACCTGGAGGGCCATCCTGGCTAATTCCTCCAGGACCAGGGTCCCCTTGATCCCCATTTAATCCTGGAGGGCCTTTTACAAATAGGACAGATCTACAGTTTCTGTATAATTAATGATTAACAGACGCATTCCCCGATGATCCTTAAATCTTGGCCCACTGGTCAAAGATGATGATTTAAATTTGACAACAATTGTGAGTTGTTACCAAGCAGTCCAATCCCTCCAGTTCTACTGTCATCGCCTTTCATGCCTTTCGATCCCATTGCTCCCAAAGCTCCCATAGGACCATCTCTTCCTGGCTCCCCTGGAAACCCTATAAGCGGTCAAAGTTTGTTGTTTCGGGGGTCAAAAATCTGGTTTCTTTCATGAAATATACCTTATAATGCAATAATTCAAGCCATCAATTATTATATTTTTAGCAAGTAATCCCAGAACTGACAGTGCCTTGAAGCAGTGATGATGTTTTATAAAGATATTACTCTGTGACATCTGACTATAAAACTTACCCGGTAAGCCTGGCTCTCCCTTCGGACCAGGTGATCCATTCTCATCATCATGACAGCATTCCCCAGTTTCACCTTGTGACACAAATACAACAATTTTTGCCCATGATACGCTATGTTGTGTAAATCTCTGAATTCAACCAAGTCTCTGACCTGGAGGGCCTGTTCGACCAGGAACGCCTGAGGGGCCAGGAAGTCCCTGATAACCTTTGGGTCCAGACTGACCCTTCAGACCTTGAACACCAGGACCTGGGGGGCCGATAAGGCCTTGAGACCCTTTTGGTCCAGCAACACCAGGATAACCTTTGGGACCAGGTAATCCTACATATCCAGCACCCTGCAAAAACATTACTTGATGAAATATTTTGCAAAACCAAACAGGTGGAATATGTTTTTCTATTCCATAAATTATGTGTATATAACTTAAAATATACACTCTTACTGGAGGTCCATGTTCCCCCACAGGTCCAGAGGAGCCATCACGTCCTGGTCTACCCGCTTCTCCAGGAGGACCAGGACGTCCAGGCACTCCCTTGTTACCTTTAGCACCTTTCAACAACAAAAAATAACAGAAGATAATAGGCTATTAATTATTGTTTAATAACCCATAGTACAGCTATGTTTAGAGCCGATATCATATTTGACAAAAAGCACAACATTATCAACAGACAAATCAACTTTTTGTTTCAAGCTAATGTTTTAGCTGTCAAGGTTTGGGTTTACGTCTTGTTTTATTTCATTTCTTGTTTCATGCCTCTGGTGCTCCTGGGTGAACTTTACTTCCTGCCTTGTCCTGTCATCCCCTGTGATTGTCTGCCGTGTCCATGATTGTTTCCACCTGTGTCCAATCACCTGCACCTTCCCAGTGTATTTGCGTGTCTCTTGCCCTTGTTGCGTCATTACTGAATGTATTCATGTTATGCCAGCTTGTCATTCCCTGAATGTCTTGTGAGTTCCTGGTCCCTGCCTGCGTTTTTGTCCCTTGGCATTTTGATTTTGATTTTGACTATTAAAGTCCCTTTTTGTTTCCAAGTCTGCGTTTGAGTCCTGCCTCCACCTACCCGTTCCTGACAAAATTACGTGACCATAGACGGACTTTGGAGTTTGGTCTCCAGAACCCTTATGGGGAACCGGTTTGGCCCGGGAGGGGCACGGCATGTACAACGTCCGCGCTGGGCCGGCGGGGACCTCCGAATCCGGTGGGCCGCAACGCACAACTTTCCCGCGGGCCGCAGCGACCTCTTGACCCCGCTGGGCTGCAAAGCACTTCCTTCCGCACTGGGCTGCAGCAACCTCCCGATCCGGCTCCACGACTAACGTCCCTGCCACCGCCGCCGATTACGGCTCCACGACTCAAGCCTCCGACTCCGCCAGTCCTGGCTCCACGATTCGTGTCCCTGACTCCGCCAGTACCGGCTCCACGACTCCTGCCCCCAACTCGGCCAGTCCCGGCTCCACAACGCCTGACCCTGCCCCCGACTGCGCCAATACCGGCTCCCCGACTCACGCACACGACGCCTCCAGTCCCCACTCCCCGAGTTAGGCCTCCTCCCTCCCATCCCGTGGTCCTCTCCCACCCCCCCTTTGGTGTTCTGAGATCCGTCATGAAATCGTTAGGTTAAAGGGGGGGTTTTTGCATTTACTCGGGCCACGCCCCCATTGATTACCAACCCAGCGGATCGGGCCCGGCTCCCCGTGACCTGCATCCAGCGCCCCCGAGCCCGGCTTCCCGTCACCTGTATCCGGCACCCCCGAGCCCGGCTTCCCGTCACCTGCAGCTGGCGCCCCCGAGCCCGGCACCCGGTGTCCTGCAGCCGGCGCCCCCGAGCCCGGCGGCCCGTGTCCTGCAACCGGCGCCTCGCAGCCCGGCGCCCCGTGACCTGCAGCCGGGGCCTTGTGTCCTGCAGCCGGCGCCCCATGTCCTGGAGTTGGCGCCCCCGAGCCAGACTCCTGACTGCCCTCTGGGCCGATCCACAAAGGCTCCCTGGGCGACTGACTGCCTGTCTTAGTGTCTTGTTCCTGGTCCCCGCTTGCGTTTTTGCCCCCTTGGCATTTTTGATTTGGATTTTGATGATTATAGTCTTTTTGTTTTCAAACTCTGAGTCTGGGTCCTACCTACCCCAATCCTGATATAGTTATAAAATAAACAAATAAATCTTGACTTGAATTCTGCCATCTGCTGTATAGCTGAATATCCAAACATGTAAAACATATATTCTCCTTTTCTTGTATAATAATCCTTTTTAAGGTACAGGTTTGATGTTGGTGCTTACCCGGAGCATCTACCGAGAAGGATTCACCCTTTTGACCCTTTTGTCCTTTACTTCCAGGAATTCCTTGAAAACCCTGAACAAAAACACAATGTCAGATAAAAAATGTTTTTAAAAAGTCTCCTTCTTTATATTTATACATGTTCAAGAAATTGTAAACTGTTAGTTTTTTAGAGTCCCGCGGTCATTACATGTGGTCCTTTTGGACCATCTAATCCTTTGAGCCCTGGGTCCCCTTTATGTCCTTGAGTTCCAGGTAACCCTGGATGTCCTGGATAACCAGTAGGACCAGGGGGGCCTTCGCTTCCACCAGCAGACCTACAATTACATTCCCCTGGACAACCTGGAAGACAGACACGTTAAAAATAATATAAATATGTAAAATACGATGCAGCATATTCTAACACTGTACTTTATATACCGTATCTATTACTATACAACATATCTTCCAGTATATTCCTACTATACTAGTTTTTAAATTTTAAACACAACCTCTGCTTGTGGGATTAACTCTTGTGCTTATGAATTGGCACACATCACCTTTAATTCCCATGACCCCTTGGTTTCCAGGAGATCCTTTGGGTCCCACATCACCAGGGTCTCCTGGGTTTCCAGGCTCACAGTAGTAATCTGTGGATCAGCCAGCAACAAATATTGAACGACATAAATTAGAAATTCAGAAATTGATTTTAGTGCATGAATTTATTGACATTAGAAGTAAGTCATTGAGAAATCACCTCCACATCCTGACCAAGAAGGTGCCATACCCAGCAAGACAGACACAAGCCCATTAGCAAGTAATGAACATTCAAACAATCAAATTATATTTGTAAAATTAACTAACACATATAAGAAACTATTTGGTCTAATATGAAGGAAGTAATATTATACCTGGAGGACCTGGGAGACCAGTGACACCTTTAGGTCCGAGGTGTCCTTTAGGTCCCTTTACTCCCGGAAACAGATCTTCAAAGTTGTTATACCTCCCTTTCTCTCCTTTGAATCCCTTCAGACCAAGGGGCCCTCGTGGACCAGGCCGACCAGGCTCTCCTACGAAGGTGTGTGAGACAAATTGAAAATTCAACAAAGGTAGAATCAAGCCTGGCTGATTGTCTAGCTGTTGGTCAAATCCTGATCAAAGTGAATGTTAAACTCATAGATATGTAATACATAAAGCCAGCAGTGACGTGAAAGTTGAATATGACCAACTCTGACCTGGTATTGTTAACCCTGGTGGGCCAGGAGGACCATGCATGCCCATGTACCCAGAGTCACCTTGAGGTCCAGGAGTTCCAGGATACCCTCGGTCACCTTGAACACCTAACTCATACAGACATAGGGCCATGAAAAAGTCAGTAATGCCTGATCCTTTTCACACACTAATTATAGTTATTTAGCAATATTTTGTTGAAAATATGACTGTAAAATACATGCAGATAAAAAGTGGAGGAAACATTTCTATAGTTGATACATGTTTTACAGCTCAATGATTTTATCTGTTGTGGCTAACACCTTACAAGTTAACCACTGCTGTGAACATTTCGACACTCCAGTGGGTTTGTTTTTTATACTAAAATGCACTAAAATTTATCATGGTCATATCATACTCATTTTCAGTCTTAAATTTGTATTTTAGTTTTGTATTTTAGGCCAAAATAGCACATCTAAGATAGTAAACTGTTTACCTTTAAATCCAGAAATAATGTCATTATAACATCACTATTCCGATAAACCTAGTGAGGCTGCTGCTGTGATCTCACCTCTAACATAACTTCTAAATTTGTATTTTAGTTTTCTACTGAAATATGTTTACTTAATTGATAATGTTTCAAAATAATTGTCTGAATAAACCTGTATTCAGTCTGCAAAATTACCTCCTTTACCATTAGTTTCTTTAAGCCCTGAAAAAACATTGCAAATGACGACGCTTCGATGAGAAGCGATATGTTTTTATAAGCTGCATGTAACATATTAAGGGGAGCCAAATTCAAATTGCTCGCTGAACTGAGTTTCATAACTGGGCACCCAGCAAAAACTAAACGTGTTTTGCATGATACAGTATGTCCCGTAAAAACCCTACTGGACTATAAAGTACTTTCCAGAGAGATGGAGCGTAGGTCCAACATCTCTGCAAAGACAGCGATGAGAATTGTTGTGCAAATGTTCTGTAGTAACATTGGCCAAAATAGCACATCTAAGATTGTAAACTGTTGACCTTTAAATCCAGTCATTATAACATCACTATTCCGATAAAGCTAGTGGGGCTGCTGCTGTGGTCTCACCTCTAACGTAACTTCTAGTGTTGAGAGGACCAGCGGGACCTGGATCTCCTGGGTAACCCTGTTGGGTGCAAACACAGCGATGGAGAAAAATGTCAATGATTGTGTACAAAATGTCAATGTGTACATTTTGTATAGATAATATATAGAAAAATGCAAAGTACGATCAGAAATGGCAGTTCTCAACCAATAATTCCATTTTTCCCATTGGGCCACTACTAGAGGGAGGCAGATAACGTATGGCAAAATTGCGAGCTACAGTCTTCCCTGCAGGAGACTATGGATCCGTTTCATCAATAAAAATATGTCTTTTTAATTTTCCTCCAAGTTTCACTTTGCACTTGAATTACAATGGCTCATTTGTTTGTACAGATAAGTGGCGTCTGTTTGCAACTGATAGAAGCTTTGTTCAAACTGTGATGCCCTTTTGATTTGGTGCTTATTCTCACCTTTGGTCCGTTTCTTCCAATGAGACCTGGAAATCCTTTCCCTCCATGCAAACCCTGAAAATACATCTATGTATTGAGCCTCAAAAACTCTCTGTATAATAACATACAGGAAAGCTTGGATCTCAGATGTCACTGGTGTACCTCAGGTCCTGGAGGTCCATCTTTACCAGGATATCCTTGAAGACCCTAGAGATGGAAACAGCAGGGTCAATACGGTTTGTCTACATCAGTGATGCAGTCTGAGTTAAGTCACCTACAGTACCTCGACTCCAGGAAAACCAACTATTCCTTGCTCTCCTTTTGTTGCTTGGATGTACATGTCTCCTCTACCACCCTGACAAGGAAGAAAATGCAGATAAAATACCTTTCTCCTGGGCCTACCAGTGTGCTTATATACAGGATAAAACTCACGCTTACACCCTTCGGTCCACATGGTCCAGGAACACCTCGGTCTCCCTGAGAAGAAAAAAAGAAAATACCTGTTTGTCTTCATACAGTTCAATGCACTAGTTACAAATAAACAAATAAACTTTTCCTTCACCTTGTGGCCTTTGGGTGGAAGAAAGTCTGGAGGGAATTCTTTGACTTCTTCCAGTCCTTGTGGGCCAGGTGGGCCTTGGTCACCCTGCAATAAGGTATTAAGGGGCTGAAAACGTTTGTTGGTTGTAAAGACGCCCATGAACCTTCACACAGACACAGCCAAAGTGGTTTCTTACATCGTCACCTTTGGTTCCTGCTAGTGATCCTCCCGGGTCCCCCTACACAGCAACAAAAAGATTAGTACGGTTCTGTGTGTGTGTGTGTGTGTGTGTGTGTGTGTGTGTGTGTGTGTGTGTGTGTGTGTGTTGTGTGTGTGTGTGGAGGACATTCTTTCATCACTGGCAAAGTGCTTTGACTTACTGGTTCTCCTCTCACACCTTTAGGTCCTTCCAATCCCTAAAAAGGATCCAGGTTAACATACTGTAAGCATTTTTTTTTCATGTAGATCATGAACATATCCCATATATTGCTCAACAATGTATGTACAATAAAAACTATATAATAATAATAATACAAAATAAAGACTTTTTCACCTCAGGTCCCAGAAGGCCAGGAAGGCCTATGTCACCTTTTAGCCCAGTTACTCCTTGTCTACCCTGAGTTAAAAAAAAAAGAAACACTGTGTTAAAGGAAGTAAATGGTACTTAAAGGAAGTAATATTTCCTTTTGTCGTAGCCTCAAAACGGACTTGCTCAAGGTCACGGCTAAGTTTGTGTGGTCAACCAAGTGCCAGGAAGCTTTTGACAATGTTCAAAACAATCAAGCCTCAATTCACCTTTCAGCTCAATATTAGATGCAGGAATACCGCTTTACTGTCGGAATAAGAAAAGAAAACTCACAGGTGAACCAGGTTGTCCAACTTGTCCACGATTCCCCTGTAAGATGAAATTAAAAAAAAGATGAGAGTTTACAGCTACTTTAAACTATAAAGCAGTATAAATCCGGATGGACAGAAATTGGGTTGACAGTCCTCCCCAGAAAGGACTTACCGGAAGCCCTGGAAGGGTAACCCCGTACATGGGCTCTCCTTTAATTCCTTTAGGTCCTTGTGATCCCTGATGAGAAGACACCATACATGTTTGCATTCCACCCATTAGAAAATAACATAGCACAGTGAAAGGAGCCGATACAGCATTCTATATAAAACATAGTTTTCAATAGTTGACATAGTCCCAAAACCCTGATGAATTTCCGTTGAGAATCCAGTACTGTTTATTATTCAGTTGGTTATTCCCTACAATATCTATAGCTTGCATCTGTTTTGTGTTATTTGAATGTCACAATGTTTCATGATTGGCCACAGAATATGAATCCTGTCGTTCTACATCAGTCTTGCACGGTGGAACTATCAAACAAGAATAAATCCCCTATGCTTTAGTTTTGCCAAAAGGCTGGAAAGGGACATTTGAAGGTGGCACGACTGACTGAGTAACGACTAACAGAAACATCAGAGCAGGAGCTCCACTCACCGGCGGTCCATGGAGACCATCCAAACCAGGAAAACCCCAAACTCCTGGCCGACCCCTGGTCCCATTACAGCCATCCAGCCCTGGCACACCGGGCTCACCGCCTGCTCCAGGGTGGCCCTGTAGAATTAAGTACAGCTATTAACTATTGTGGTGACATTTAATTGCGATGTGTTCGAGGCTATATTTACAACTTCTCTGATGCTTTGTGTCAAAAGAGGAAAACAGCCTTACAGCCTTCACGTCCTCCTATAGTTTCATTTAATATTCCATAACTACATGCTGGTTGTGCTTTTTACTAAACAAAAAACTGTTCTGCACTGCTGCACAACAAGAACCATCTCCAGAGAGCCATGATGCGGCCACTAGAGGGAACACCAGACGCAGGCTTCAAATCACTGCACTGTTTACTGTGCAGTCACCAACTGTATATAACATGTGTGCACTGGGCAGTTATACAGTTTGGAATAACATATCAACAATTGTAAAACTGTCTGATATCTGTGTATCAGGGATCTACTCTAAATGCCTTATGTAGGAAAAATGTACACAACTCTAGGGGATTATTGTTTTCATTTTGATCCGCCTTCGTCTCTCTCTGATTTATAGACATTTTCAACAGCATCGGTTTACTTACTTGTAAGCCATCATGACCAGGAAAACCAGGAACACCATTCCTGCCCTGAAATGAAAATAAAAATGTTCATTGCAGGGCTATTTTGACGTATTCACTAACAACCCCAACCATTCTTTTTTCTTTATTGCTGGCAGATTTACACATCCATAGTCAAATAATACACATATTTTGATTATTAGATTTACTTTTGTGCAGTATCTGTCTTGCTTTCAACTGTTTCTATCATAAAACACACACAAAGCATGAGTATGCACACTAACGGGGTCTCCTTTGGGCCCCTCTGGGCCATGCGATCCTTCTGCTCCTCTTCTGCCCTTCTCTCCAAGTGACCCTTCAAATCCCCTTGGACCCACTGGTCCTCGGGGGCTTGGTTGGCCAGGCTTCCCTGGACCTCCCTAAAAAGAGAAAAGCCATTCATAAAGAACTTTGAGTTGCGTCTTTAGGGTTAAGATTTTATCTTTTTTTTATTGATGATTTATCTCTCTATTCACAACCAACAATTTAGTGTTGTTTTTTTATAAAATCGATGTTTTACAATATCAAAATGTTGTTTTACTAATCATTTTAGTTTCCTAAATTACACATGTAAGTCCTTTAGTAAGTTCTAAATGAGAACATTTCCTGTAGTTTAATTTTTTTCTAATTAAAATAATCAAATACAATTCATAGCACCAACCTTACAAATGTGAGAGTAATTAGCCTCATTTATACCATTTTCAGGAAAAGAAAAAGTAATTTCATACCCGTGCACCTTTAGCAGGAAGACACTGACAAACTGAGCAGTTTCTGCCCTGACATGGGCCTTCGATGCCCCCCTGAAACAACAAAAACATACATTGCATTCAACAGAAAGAGACTGAGAGGCCCTGCATGTTTCTGAGCAGTTCCCTGGCAGAGCATCAGTTAATGTTGTGTTTTGGACATTTCTGACATTCCAGAATATTGTACACCTTTGAAGTAAGACTTGAGAATCAACACATTTCCCTGGGGAGACAGGACAGTCCTGATTAGAAAGCTTTAAACAAATCCATCACTTGGGTAAATAATGAGCAGTGTGACCTTGGTAGGAAAGAAAAAGTTGTTTTCAGCAATGCGAATGTGTAGTACAGCCATGATGTGATTTTATATGCAGTACTATAATAAAAGGTATTTTCGATTTAAAGGTTGTCATAGTAGTGATATTGTGTATGCATCTAAATGTGTGTGTAATGAAGACTTATGAAGAGAGGCCTTACTGCATTGAGCTGCTGCACAAAGAGGACCAGGACAAGGATCCACCTGTTAACGTAACAGTAATAATAGTAATAGGTTAACTCTAGTGTCATTTAGCTGCGGCTACTAGATGCTTTTGATTAACTGCTTCATACAGAAGATGACAAATCCATACCGGATTTGTGCGCAGCTGAAGTGGAAATACAAACATCCCAGAATTCATGTATTCATCAAATTAAAGTCCACTTGATACATTGTTGCACTTTAGCTTAGAGACGGAAAGCTAGAAATAAGGTTTTTATTTAAGTGGTCCCACTGCAAGGGACACCGTGTGTGTGTGTGTGTGTGTGTGTGTACGTGTGTGTGTGTACGTGTAGGTGTGTATGTGTAGTGGAGGTCTGTTTTTATACAGCATCTACGCATTGGAAGGCAAGTATGCAGAAGTGTTGAATATCTGAGTAAACAAGCAATAAGTATGTTTGTCCTGAGGTGAAAGGTTTACAAAGTACGGGATGTGGATGCCATGAAAATGAATTACATCCTTATATTTACACTACAAGAGCTCAGGACGCGCATACACGATGGAGGTTTTTTTCAAGTACTTGGATTAAGAAAAAAAATGTGTCTTTCGATATCATATTATTCTACATTGTATAGAAATAGAGTACTGTTGCAGATACAAAGCTAGGATTGTATGCGTGTAACATTGCTCTTGTTGCTAGTACTTCTTAATATTCTTAATATTCATGCAGTGAGACTCACCTGAGAGGGCACATAGTTACAAGAGTAACCGAGAATCCCATCTCTCATCGCATGGGTCTGCTCAACAGCTGAATATTTGCCTCAGTGCTGCCCCCTGTAGTGGATAAAAGGAAGCACGAAACACCAAAGGCACCTGAGAGCGTTAGGAGAGTCGGTATTATGTGATGGTTAAGTAAAATATAGTCCCTGCAATTGTTCTAAAAATCGAAATATTCTACTCCCACCCAGGTTATATCATTTAAGCATTAAAGCAAACACCCCATGTAGTCTACAGAACGCAGCCAATCCTGCACAAAAAACAACGTTCAACAAAACAAACTTCTCACCCAAAATTCCCAATTTCTGAACCGCTCCGGTCAATCCCAGACAGGGTTGACCTCCGACAAGATTCAGGCTAATCTCCGGCCTCCGTATCAGTGGAAAACAACCAGTCAAGAGTGACTGCCACTGTTTTTTGGGGGATGAGACGAGGAGAAGGACGATGACTGGCGTGGGCCGCAACACGGAGCTTAGACCACCTCCCTTCTCAGCACCGAGCTAAACAGGTTCTCTCTCTACGTCCTGGCTATCAAAGCACCCAGATGGGAGAATTTCAAATGAACTGAATCCATGACCTGACATCACCCGCAGTACAGCAGGGGATGTGTGTTGCTGAGGAGGACGGCAGAGAAAAAAAAAAGACATTCAAGCCTTTTTGCGGTGTCTGCGGTAACTGGAGAACAGAACCATGGGAAGGCCAATGCTTGGAGTTCTTCTCATCCTCTTTGCTGGGATGCTGATGGGCACTGGGGCCAAAAATGTAAGATGTCTAGTTGTTGTTTTTTCACTCTAATTTTATGATGAGTTATTTGATTTAGCAAACAGCATAGCCGCCTACCTGAATAGTCATTCAAATGTAATGGGTATTTGTCTCAGTGATTTTCCTGTATTAGTGATTTTATTCTCATTAGACTGCAGGGACTGATTAGTTGCCGAGCAACAATTGTTGGTTTGTGAACATCTACTGGTGAGCTTTGTTAAGAGAATCTAGAATCTAGCAGTGTCTTCACCACTCAGCTTTTAACGTAACTGTTTCAACCTGTCGTTTTTCAGCAATGCTTTGGACACATTTCATTTCTTTTGAGTAATGCTCTTTGGTAGAACTTTAACTTTCTTTTTATGAAGCTCTCCAATGTCCCACATAAAAATCCACTAAATGGCTGTTTATAGGAGAGCAGCACCATTCTGTAACAGTATGTTCCCTGCGTGTTTCCTGTTGTGTAAAACATGGGAGTGATTCCTTAACTTTCATAAACAAGGCTGCCATCTGTTTGTGGTGTCTGTGCTTACATCTCTTATGCTGAAGAGATGCACGTTTTCGTTTTGCAGTCTGTTTGCACATTTACTTCATTGTGTATAGAATTCACTTCACTTTGCTATGTTGGCCTTTTAATGGAATGTCCTCGAGAGAAACAGGACGTGGTTTGCAATTTAGCTTCTCTGAACCTAAATTCCACTCTAGGAAGTGTGAGACTTTAACAGTGGAGAATTATGAACTTTTAGCAAGTTGCTTCCATGAATCCTCCACAAATCCTCCCAAAGTAAACTCTCTTCACTGTGCTTAGTAGTTATGAATTAACAATCGATCAACGCCTGTGAGGGTTTTAGTTGATTGCGCAACACTTTGGACCCCTCCAATCAGCAGAGAGCGTTGTTGGACTGTAAATTGTCGTTACAAAGCTGTTGTGAGGTCCCTACTGTGGAATATAGAGCATTAAACTTGACTCAGTTTCCCCAGTAGGCTAATGGTTGATATAAGTGACATGGGTTATAGGGAAGCACGTTTTTCTTCCCAAATGATATTTGGGAACCAATGCTCTTTAAAAGGATCCGTACATCCATCCATCTGCAAACTGCTTATCCTGCACACAGGGTCGCGGGGGGGGCTGGAGTCCATCCCAGCCAACTTCAGGCGATAGACAGGGTTCACCCCAGCCTATCGCAGGGCAAAACAGAGACATACAACCATTCACACTCACATTCACACACCTACGGGCAATTTAGAGTCCCTAATAACCCTGATCCCCAGAGCATGTCTTTGGACTGTGGGAGGAAGCGGGAGAACCCGGAGAGAACCCACGCAGACACGGGGAGAACATGCAGACTCCACACGGAAAGGCCACTGGGCGGAGACGACCCCAGGACCTTCTTGCTGTGAGGCAACAGTGCTAACCACCTCACCACCGTGCCGCCCTCTTGGAAAGGACATCAAATTAAATTAGTTGGACATCTACACAATACACATTGAACTCTCTTACAATTTATTTTTTAGTGCGTGTGCAATGGAAGATCCAGGTGCCACTGTGCAGGAGTGAAAGGCGACAGGGTGAGTGGATCATCTATTGCTGGGGTTTACTGTTATTATTTGATGTGGCTATATTATCTAATCTGACCTTTTCCCAATTCTTGCCGGGACATGGTCTTCATTTATTTATCAACCTGTTGTGAGCTCCAAGCAGAGAGAGCAGAACACATGAAACCTTTTCAATCGAATGCAGCTCAGCAGTGGTCTACAGAAAAGTTTTTTACTTTTTGTAAACCTAGTAGTAAAGGCCTATTTTTTCAACCATGATCTGAAACTTTTCTCTCTCTCTGTCTCTCTCTCTCTCTCTCTCTCTCTCTCTCTCTCTCTTCTGTTGTCACATTTACTCACAGGGAGAGAAAGGCTTTAAAGGAATTCAAGGCCTCCCAGGGCCAGAGGGCCGTCGTGGATCATATGGCCATTCTGGTCCTTTGGGACCAAAGGTAGAATTTCTTCCTGCCTCTTGTGGTTTCCTCTCTGTAATATGTATGTCCTCCAATTCAACCTTGACTCAAATTCCCTGTCGACTGTGTCAAATCACACATTTTCACTGTGCACGTAGACATCCCGTTTGGTTGTGAGATTAATTATAGGTTTCTATCTTTTGACAGGGCAGCACTGGGCCTGATGGACCGGACGGGGCCAAAGGCGATTCGGTAACCTGACTCTGATATCAAAGCGTGTGTCTTCTTTGGTGTTGTTTTAATCTGGTCTTAGTGTGGGAAGACAAAGTTAAAACAGAGTGGTCCACTCTGTAAATGCTGGTTTTGTTGCTGCCATTACAGGGCTATGAGGGTAAAGAAGGACTCGCTGGGTCTCACGGCTTACCGGTGAGTTATCTTACGCTCTCATCAATCTGTTATTAGGTATTATGTTCTTTCATATCCCTGCATTTGTTTGTAGATGTTACTTTTTTAACTTCTACTGATTATGCTGTTAAAGGGTATCCCAGGTTTACAAGGGCCTCCTGGAACCACCGGGAGCCCGGGCTGCAACGGCACTGATGTGAGGACATATTTTATATTGTAGCATGTCTTATCTTCCATCATCTGTCGGATGCTCTTGGGGCAGATGTGCTTTGAACTCTTTATACTTTCAGGGAGACGAGGGACCTCCTGGCAATCCCGGCGTCCATGGCCCTGACGGAAGTGCAGTACGCTATATATGTTGATGTTGTGATCAGATACAGTGTTTTAAATGTGTTACTCCTCTTTACAACTTCAGTTTTTTGCTTAGTGCTGTACTTGAAAAATGAACCATCAAGGAACTGTGTTGAAACGTCCCTCAGCTTTATCTTTACTTTACAGGGTCCTCCTGGTCTGCCTGGACCTAAGGTAATAAAATGCTGTGCCACCCACGGTCAGCTGTTTAGTACTTTTTGGGTGGAGTGGAAGCGCAGAATAACTCGGCAATTACTACCTTTCAAGAAGTTTATTAGCAAAAGATCCTGATGGGCAAAGAAAAAGCATGATGCTGCACTAACAGGCGCCCTCTGGACCTCCCCAAGCTCCCAGAGCTCATTCTGTCCCTCCACGTGAGACCAATAACGTTCAAAGATGCTTCTTTGTTTTGTTCCTTTTCATCAATTCTAATTCTCTTACCACCTTTGCAACAGTAAATGTGTTCATTCTCAAACTTTTTAGTTAGTGTTAGCCGAGTAGACGTTATAGAAACATCAGAAAATAATAATATAATAATAAATTCTGACTATATTTTGAGGGTATGTGTCAGATTAGATTAAATTATCAATTAATTAATTCATTTTAATTACATTTTTGCACTGTGAACTGGATCAACAGAGCTTTAAATTCCCTACGGCCTTACAAATAGTCCAATACCGTAACTACTGTTTTATAAGTAAATAAACACTGGGAATAAAGTGTTCACAGACTCCTTTGTAATGAGTCTTTTTTAAGGATTTAGTATCATTATTATTAATATGACCTTAATCCAAGTATGCATAAGGAGGCAGAATCAACTCCAAATGAAGGTCAGTGTTGAGATGTTCGCAGTACTTTTGTGGCTGTTGTTCCCTAAAGGCATAGAGGCCTCGTTCTAATTCTGAACCCATGCATCCACGTCAAGTGTCCAGATACATAACGATGACTAAGGCGTCTTGAAGACCTCGACTGTGAACTACAACACAAGAATTATTACATATTCCATTCCACCACCTATAATCGTCAAGTATTCTAACACTCAATTCAGGAGTTTGAACAACGAAATATGTAAACAAACTGACGACGTTTATTTCACAGGGTGAGTCTTGGGGGTCAACAATTTCAATAACGGGGCCACACGGGCCTCAAGGGAGGAAAGGACAGCCGGTAACTATTTTAAATTACATCAGTCTTAATGGAGTTCTGTTTATATGATATTCTCCATTACAGTTCTTTTTTTTCCCAGTGAAGTGTGTATAATAAGTGTGTGCTATATTTAATTTGATTTCTATATTTATGTGTTTTCTAGGGGAATCCAGGTCCCTTTGGAGAGCGTGGACAACCAGGAGACCCTGGACGACGGGGTTCTGTGGTGAGTTAAGTTTTTCCTGTTGGCTCACACAAACATCTGGCACTTTGGAAAATGTGTTGTGTGATGTTTGCATAACTTTATTATTCATGAACAGGGGTTTCCTGGTCGTTCTGGGTCTCCAGGATCAAAGGTAATACTAGAAAATATGGTCGAAGACAAACTAAGAATGTACATGTTTGACAGATTATGATAGTGAGTCTAAGTGTTCCCTGTGTTTTTTTTATAGTCTTGTTTTCAATAATCATAAAGAGCAGTGTCCACACAATGTGTGAAAGTACATTCCTAGTTGTTGTTGTTGTTGTGATTGCTGCTGTTTGGCCACAGTACCTGCTCTTTAGCATGGCAGTGTTTTGAAATGTAGTGCTGATATCATGTGATCCGACCCTTTTCCCACAGTGAAGGTAGGATGTGTTGTGTTAGAGGAGGGGCAGTCTCAACCCGTCTCTAAGATTATGTAGCAACAAGGAAGTTAAACATGGTCTGACCAAAAACAATCCGAGAGATAAGTTACGTTTCTGAGAAAGAATGGGAAAACTAATTCTTAAGTAACAACTGCTTTCCTGTCCCACAGGGTCAAGAAGGCATAGGCGGTATTCCAGGACCTCAGGGACTAAAGGTAATTTATTTTTTAGAAATAAAATACTGTCATACTGTCATAAAATAAGTATCAAGGATTCATTCACTTAAAAAAGAGAGTATGTCACATTTTATTTACTTATTTCCCCTTTTAACATTTCAAAAACCCAATGATGACATTATTCCTCTGCATTATATCTAATCTAATTATATAGGGCAGACAAGGACCACGAGGCCCACCGGGGCCACCGGGTCAGATTAAGGAATTTCTCACTGGGAGTCTCTTGTCAAAGGTACAGTATAAGACGGGGGTCAAATCAACTGCATTTATGTAATACATATTCTAGGGTGTGGTTTTGTTAAATTGTATTGCAGAAACCTTGCACTACTACCCTTCATGTGCCTCTGAAGTCCACGTAAGACACAGCCAGTGCTGCAGGCCTAATGCCGTCACTATTCACTGGCAGGAACAGAATGTCGTCAGAATGTTGCTGGGGGTTCGAGAGCAGCAGGATTTTAAACTCCAGTTTTTTCAAGGTTCACAATACTGGCCAGACTCCAGTTAGATTGCTGATATGGTGATCTGATAGAGGTGGAAGAGGAAAATACTTTTGAGGGTTCATTTTTATTGGGATATTTTCATTGTAGTTATTAAAATATGTTTTGGAACAAAATGTTGGATGGGCTAGAAGGTAATGCATCTCTTTGCAACTAATGCATCATATCCTGTTACTTCTCATTCAGGGTGAGAAAGGAAGCAAAGGAGACATAGGAATAAAAGGATGCCATGGTGAAGCAGTAAGTTTCTAATTTGCACATTTTTAAAATAATTAAATTTTTGGATCTTTTGATTGTTTTAGATCCATCTTGTGTGTTCTGCCTTTTTGGCGCTGTGTATTTATCTCTCAGATCCCCGCCCCCCCTTCAATCTGTTTTTCAGGGAGACCCAGGTTATGAGAATTACATCAAAGGAGCAAAGGGAGACAGAGGGCCGCAGGGTCCAGAGGTAAGATACCTCGTAATATTTATTACGTAGGTCATCACATTTAGGCCTCCCTTTCTGATTGGGGATACGGATGAAATGCCGTGGTCATTTGATTTGCTATATGAATGTTGCACCAAATTATTTTCCGTGCAAACAGAGGGAGATGAGTCACAGGCTCTTGCAGTGAAGAGCTACCAGTAACCACTTTGGGAACAGTCTACGACAGAGGATAGCCAGCAGAGGGCAGTAATGCAGCATCAAACTCAGTGGTATTTGACACGTTGCGACCCAAGAAAAGAAAGATCCATCCATCCGCAAATCCTGCACACAGGGTTGCAAGGGGACTGGAGTGTAACCCAGCCAACTTTGGGCGAGAGACCGGGTACACCTTGGATTGGTCGCCAGCCAATCGCAGGGCTAACACAGAGACAAACAACCATTCACAGATTCCAATTAACCTGATCCCCAGAGCATGTCTTTGGAGTGTGGGAGGAAGACAGAGTACCCGGAGAGAACCCACGCAGACATGGGGAGAAAATGCAGACTGCACACAGAAAGGCCACTGGGCGGAGTGGAACCCAGGACCTTCTTGCTGTGAGGCGACAGTGCTAACCACCACGGCACCATGCGCCCTGAGAGAAGAGAGATGAGAACACAAAATAAAGCATAGCCTTAATAATTGTTCCTCTGTCAGGTGTATGTATTAATGATGCCTGTAGGAAAGACCGCAGTGTACGCAGGCCCTCGGCTAACTACCAGTTTTTGCCAATTGGGTGCTTCTGATTCATATCACCATGTCAATGGCTATGCACAATATTTAAAGCTCATTATAGAGTTTGCAGGTCTGATCAAGGTTGTAAGTTATTTTAGTGTTACTGCGTAACTGTTATTGTGTTATTAGACAGGGCTGCAAAACCAAATGCAGTTTTTTGTCCCATTTTGCTACATAAGAAACCACTCACAAAAATATCTATAAATATATTCCTTATGGAGGTTGGAGAATACATTTTGGTGTCTTACAGCCTCAGGAAGGAAGCTGCTCTGAAATGTGTTGGTACAACAGCTGATACTTTTGTAACGCTTGCCAGATGGCAGCAGGGTGAGCAGGCTGTTGTTGAGGTGGGTTTTGACTTTTAATATCCTCAGGGCTCTTCACAGGTTACCTTGAACCTCGCATGGCAGCTGGATTCTCACAATGTCACAAGATTCCTCGAGAATCGCAAACACCTTTTACGTGTTTCAGGTCACCAATATCACTGAGGCTCTCTAGACCAAGAGAGTGCCAAGGATGTTCTGAGCCATTATAATCCCCTGCTGTAGAGCCCTCCTGTTCTGGGCCATGCACATAACAGTGACAGTCTGTAAAGTTTGCAGCAAGGATGCTTCCTTTGTGAAGTTAAAAAGAACTTGGCACTTCTTTCTTTCCCAGAATGGAGACGTGTGACAATCATCTCAGGGTGTTTATTATGCTGATTCTGAGGGAATTTAAAACTGTTCTTAAGCTCCACTGATGTAGTCAGGGGCAGATAATCGTTGTCCTCTTTTATTCTAAAATCAGCTCCTTGTTACATCCAACTTAGTAAAAGCAGCACGTTGTTCTCTGTGCACCACCATGCAAAATGTGTGATATCACTGTTGTAATCCGTCCGATGATGATAGTACTGGCAAATTTCACATCAAGTAACCATTTCATTATAATTTTTTCTTCCAACAATAGTATCAGTCTATAGCGTTCTTGCTACTAACCCCTAGGCCCACCCTGGCTATAATAGAGGCTGCCGTGAAAACAAGTAAAGGATTGCACTATTGTGACATATTTGCACTGCTGTGTAAATATAATGACAGCATCCCTGCGGGGGGTCAGCATGGTGTTACCAGATCTTTCACAAGACAGGACTTCTCAACTGAAGATTCAAAACCATTTTCCAAATATTTTCTCTACTTTCAAAGCTCGTGGCATACACCTGAAGATAGGCACTCCTTTAAAGAGACGAGCCTCTGCTAATGATATCGCTCCATATGAAATGAAAGAAGGGCCTCCCCTCAGTACAAGCTGTTGCTGGCTTTTGTGATTACTGCCATGTGACGCCAACCAAAAGAACTCTTTGTATAATGAAGTGAACGAGAGGATGGATAAGCCCCTTCGTGAACTATTTCTTAATGCACAGTAGAATTTAGCCAATCTCTCATTCCTATCCTCAAATATCCTTACAGGGAAAACAAGGGATGGATGGCAATCCGGGCCAATCAACACAGGTACTGTTCTAATGTTATGAATGTGTAATGTATGCAGAGTCATTATGTTATAATGTGTGGGGCTTTTGAATACAGTGTAGTTTTCTTTAGGGGCGGCCCGGCCCCAGAGGTGATCCAGGATATCCAGGGACACCAGGAGGGACGGTTAGTCATCTGTTAGTGCCATAAACAAGCTTTTAATGGATTGGTATGCTGCGTGTCATCATTATTTGATTGTATACTCCAACATTTAGGGTGAAAAGGGAGATAAGGGTCTCCCTGGTCCCCCTGGTGCAGTTGGAGATGTGAGTTTGTTTTGATACTATACCATACTCCTGAAGTAAATCCCACTATTCATGATGATACATTATGATTTCACGATATGCCACCTGTGGTTTTATTTCCAGATATTTGGCCCTGTGACTGCACCACTCAAGGGGTTTCGTGGGGATCCTGGTTTTCCAGGCTTACCTGGGCTCCCTGGACGTCAAGGTAGATTCACTTAATGCTGTGTAATAATAAGCCTATTAAGATAATCAGAATATCAAATGCTAATATCTGTGTCTCCCATGTTTTTATTGCGGAAGGAATGTTGATAACTCCAAAAAATACGTGTTTGCTTCCAGCAGACTTACACATACATAAATGACACAAGATACGATTCTCTTCTCAGGTGTTGAAGGATTCCCTGGACCTGATGGACCTCCAGGTGTGTAGCTAAGAGCCTATACTCGTTTTATTTCTCCGTCTCCCTATTCCTATTGTAGGAACTAATATTAAGAAGGTGCAGTATACCCAGTGATGACCTTTGGTTTCCCTAAATATGCTGCTTACAGCCTTTCCCTTTACAACATACAGGCCAATCATCTGGGATTCATGTGTCAGGCCCTACTGGTCCCAATGGGTTTCCAGGCCCCAAAGGGGACCCTGGGGAGCCTGGGGATATTTATCTAGGACTTCCAGGTCAAGATGGGGATCATGGGGATCAAGGTCCTCCTGGGGATCGGGGCCCACCTGGGCCTCCTGAAGACAGAAGTATGTGTAAATGCCTTCCTTCCTTCAAAAGAGTAACTGATACTCTTTGATACTGATACTCTGATGATACTACAACTTCTGGTATCCCCCCTACTTTCAGTATTACCAGTAGTTTCTTAAAATATCTCAACAAACGTCTTGCACCTGTGATCAGTTAAGGCTTCTACGTTGTGACTGTACGCTTGGGCAAGAAACTGTTACTAGACAAAAATGTCTACATCTTTTTAGAACTCTCTTCCCTTTTTCCTTTTCTTTTCTGTAAGATAAAACGTCAGCATTTCTTCGAACAACATGTACCTTTATGTATATAAAAATGAATCAGGCGTTTTATATGAAACTACAGGTTGAGAAGAAAAACCCTTTTTGGAATAAATGTGACAATTATCTAAAGTCGTCCGTTGACTGATGAGTGTTGTTGATTGTACTTATAGCTAACAGGATTATCAAAGGTATTCCGGGAATGAAGGGAACAAGAGGTATGCCTGGACCTACAGGATATGATGGACAGCATGGAATGAAAGGTGGGAAACTAACCATCATTCCAAAGTGAATTGCTACCGTTTCATGTGTTCTGACCTGCTAATTCATGCATCCCTTTAATAGACTCAACAGTTACTTAAAAAAACGATTAATAAAACTATTATGAAATATCCCATTCTTTGTTCAGGAGGGAAGGGGGAGCCCTGTTATGAATGTGTTGGATTAGGATTCCCAGGACCACCGGGTCCTCGCGGCCCACAGGGCGCCCCTGGTAAATATATTCATTTAGAATTCTATTAAATACATCCTCCTACATTTAAATGCATTTGAATTTTTACCAGAAATACCGATAATCTATGTCTTTCTTTTTCTCAGGATATAATCAAGGGCCAGGTGCTAAAGGTGATCCAGGCTACCCGGGATCTATTGGCTTACCTGGAAGACCAGTAAGAAAGCATGTCCTGAAAAAAGAACCGTGAGGCAAAGTATCATGGGAGTAAAGTTTAAAAAAGTAAAGGACCTTATGAACACTAAGATGACTTGATTGCTATAATAAAATTATTGAAAAAGTTTTTATAGTAATTGTTCTGTCCCAGGCTGTTTAATCACCGTAACTGTGACTATCTTTAGCAGTATTCACTGCTGGTCGTTTTTTTTTGGTTATATTGTTTGGTAAAGAGGAGTTCTTTTCTGAAGGGTCCTCTTGGTCCAATGGGATTTCAAGGCCCTTCGGGACAAAAGGGAGACTCATATACTGACCAAACCCCTGGGGAAAAGGGAGAGGAAGGAGATCCGGGACAGCCTGGCCCACCTGGTGTAGATGCCCTCCCTGGGTTTCCTGGACTACCTGGTCGCAAGGGGGACCAAGGCCCTCCAGGGAATTCGGTGAGAATATTTTTGACAGACTTGAGCTCGATGTGCCATATATTTTGTGATTTGATGCCCTATGTTTATGTTTCAAATTTCTTAAATTCTCAGACGTTGGCACGAGCCAATGCAGATATAGATTATCTATTTTTATTGTTTGTTGAAATAAGTTTTTGCTCCATTTTTCTCCACAGTATCCCTTCCATGGTGCAGATGGAGACCGGGGTTTCCCAGGACAACCAGGACCTGTAGGCAGACAAGGACCAGTTGGCTACCCTGGCCCAGTGGGATATGGCCCTGCTGGATCTATGGGTAGTACCGGAGATGTTGGGGTACCTGGGCTGCCAGGGCAACCTGGGATTCCAGGTAAAGGAAACGCTTCGACCGATATACCATTTGACAGGCATCTATTCGTTACGACACTATAGAATCCTTTATTCTCCAAATCCTTCATTGGTAGGCCAGAAAGGCGAACCGAGCCACAGCCACACTAAAGGATTTCCCGGACCACCTGGATTTAAAGGTCTGCCTGGTTCACTTGGAAGACCAGGTAAACTAAAACACTTGTTGTAGGATAAAAATGGAAACGTCAGGAGGATGAGTGCATGGTCTTCATGTTACCATACAATGGATGATGAAAGTGTGTTTCATTCGTACCAACAAACTTCCAGGTAATACAGGAGCACCAGGTATCCCAGGAATACCAGGTCAAAAAGGTCAAAAAGGAGAAAGTGGTGAGGTGTCATTACCTGGAAGGCCAGGTATCCCAGGACAAAAAGGTAATCACTGGAACACACACAATGTGTTATCAATGGTATAATGTAGTTTATTTACCTTCTTAAGAGAATGGCACATAGCTCTAAGTATGATATATCTTTCTTTCAGGGGACAAGGGGCCGCCAGGTATCCCAGGTCCTACAACGAGGGGCTTGCCTGGTCGGCGAGGTTCCAGTGGAATTTCTGGTCCTGCAGGCGTGAAGGTCAGAGACAAAAAACAAATCTGCCGTGTATATTTAATCTTCTAGTATTCATCTGCATATAGTTGAGTATTGACTGTTTATCTGAAAGCAACGTAGTAGAAATATATAACGTCAAACTGTGCCAAAGTGGGTGACAACTCACCTTTGTCCCCATGTTGGTATGTGGGTTGCATGCTTGCCATGCTCGGCAGGTGTGCTGGAGGCTAGAGGAGTGAGCAGGCAGTGAGGCCTAGTGTTTGTGCAGGGGATGATGTCAGCAGTGACATCATCGGGTTGGACCAGGTGTACAGGGGGGAGAGTGTCATAATGGGTGTCACCTGTGCACATGGTGCAACCTGGGGCGGGTTGATGGTTGACGGCGCTATAAAGGTGGAGGACATTGACTGTTGGGGGGAAATGGTGGAACCTCCATGTAGCTGAGGGCACGTGTTAGATGAGGTTATGTGGAGTTGATTCAGTTAATGAATTAGGTTATGTTTGTTTGGAATCTTCCTTTTTTTACAAATGAAGAAACATATTTTTTTACCTGGACCAAGTCTCGCTTGCCTGCCTCCTAATTATATACAGATTCCAGGGTTTGCACTGCAATACAAATGCAGATGGAAAAAGGAGATTATTTCACAGCTCCGCTCTAATGATATCTGTCTAAATATGATGTAATTTCAAATTAAAGAATAGCATGAAATCATCACAAAAGACCTACCTTTTGAAAGGTGAAAACCGTTCTGCAGGACTTCCAAGACATTTGGTAGTATTTAATTGGGTTTTAGCCTTTGGAGCACTTTTTGCGGGCATTAATGATGTTAGAGTACAATAACAGTTCCCCCTGTTAAGGACTCTGCAACAAGAATAGACAGCCGTTTCAGAGCCACAGGAAGGTCCCTCTGACTTCTACTTGTGAGAAGTCATAATAGACAAAAAAAAACAGCACTAGAACAACGCCTCACTGCGACCACATTGAACTGTGTCAATAAATAACTGTATTTGTGATCATCAGGGGGATGGCGGGCCTGGATACCCTGGCCCCAGAGGATCCCCTGGGCCTCCAGGAGAAGACGGCGTTCAGGGGCCCGTAGGAGATCCTGGGAACCCTGGCCGACCTGGGAACCCAGGAGTAGATGGAAATCCAGGTTTATCAGGAGAAAAGGGTAAAGTGTAAAACTACACCATGCAGACAGATTTAAATATTTGAGTTCAGACACATCTGCATTTATAAATAGTTATAGTTTTATATACACATATATTAACTGCTTTACTCTATGTTATATACAGGAAATCAAGGTTCTGTAGGCCACCCAGGACCACCTGGTAATAAAGGTTCATGTAATAGTGATTTACCTGGGCCAAGGGGACCAGAAGGACCAGATGGGTATCCAGGACATCCAGGTCAGTGCATATTGAAGTCACGTGATGTTCTTATCTGACAGCTCCAGAGGGATTGAATTCAGAAGTTTAAAGATTAAAAAAAGGACAAAACGTTGATATGTCATTCCCATAATTCAACATCACGAACACATTTAGACCGTTTCTTCATAAAAATAACACAGACTTCTTCACCATTCATTTACCACCATATTTTCCTCTGCTCTACACCTTGTTTTGCCCGGTCCATCCGTCGCCTCTTTTCCAGGTCCGAATGGCTTCGCTGGTGAGAAGGGGAACCCAGGTTTGCCAGGGTTTGGTCGTCCTGGCGTCCCCGGTGTTCCTGGTGTTCTTGGGCCGTCAGTGCCAGGTTCACCTGGCCTTCCTGGACAAAAAGGGATGAAGGGACACAGCGGCCTGCCTGGTCTATCAGGTAGGGCATTGTTTCTCTGTCAAGCTAAAACAATCTTTTGAAGGTATGTTGCTTTTTGGGGGGTTTTGTGTGGTCACTACCTTAACCGTATTGTGTATCAGTTAACAGCCACATACATACATCATATCGGAGAATATTGAATGCATTTGGAAAGTTACAGCTGTTTTTTCACTTGCGTGTCCTCAGGACCGAGAGGAGAACCTGGACCAGATGGGTTACCAGGATATGGACAAGATGGGTTGCCTGGAATTGCAGGACCACCAGGCCAAATAGGTGACCCCACACACACCTTCACACATAAATAGATGAATTGAAGCTAATATGTATACATCTTTAACATATAGGTAGATTGATTAGAAAAACGTTAAAAAGTCTGGTGTCAGAACTAACACAATGGTTGGTGTTGCAGTCGGTGCACCCAAACGTAGACAGATGGCAGAGTAGGTGGAAATGGCTCTTTATTTTGTCTGTAAGTGGATCCAGTAGAGAATGCAGGTGGAGTATCGAGGCGGTGGAAGAACTGCACTGGCTGGGAGGCGATGTGGTACGGAGATAACACTGAGCTGGGGAAATACACACGTTAGATTAAGCGGTATTGAAGTTGCTGGTTAAAAGAGTTTTGCACTGCAGAGGGTAGCTACCTGAGCTGAATAAACAAGCTGCCTATGAGACGATCAGAAGCCGCGGTATTTCAGCCGCCGGTGAATGAAGGATGGGTGAGGAGGCCAGATCCTTGCAGCCGCGCACAAACGACACACACACACACATACAGAGAACAAACAGGGGAGCTGAGCTGACGTCACAGTGGAGCCGCGACAGTTGGTGACTCATTGTAATTATATGTGGGATGTAGAGTTGTGATGCAGTCAATGCCCCCCATGACTGTTTACAGGTGACCCAGGCCCAGATGGAGCCCCGGGTTCCGTGGGTCCACCAGGTATGGATGGTGAACCAGGTTTGACAGGTCCTCCGGGCCCAGCGCCGCTACCACCAATAGATTTTTTCGGCTCAATAGGGGACCCTGGCGAGCCAGGTAAGATTTACTAGCTTTTTCTTACAAAAAAAACATTCCACATTATAACTCCAATGTTGCTACAGATATTTTGTTAAACTCAGAATTTTTAACCTCAGGACATTGCAACCTCCTGTGGAGTCCTGAATAAAACGGTAACTGTTATACAATTTAGAATAGCAGATGTTTAAAATATGATCCCTCTATCTGTACTTTGTTAGGTTACCCTGGTCTACCTGGTGCCAATGGAGATACTGGCAGTGTTGGACCAAAAGGGCAGAGAGGGTTTGCTGGAGCACCAGGGAGTCCTGGACAAAGAGGTTTGAACTTTGTTTCACGTTTGTAACTATATAGTTGTCAGTATTTTGGTCCATCTAAATCATCATGGTTTTTTTTTCACTTTTGAATTTGTTCTGTGTGCCTTTCCCCAACAGGTCCCACAGGTGATCCAGGTGGTGATGACCAAGTTGATTCAGAAGGAAGTCGAGGACCTGCTGGAGCTCCAGGAGACTCAGGAGTCACAGGGCCTCCAGGCAAGACCTAAGCTGGAGTTTCTGGCACACATCCACTTTCTTACAAATCCTCTCACCTCTCACCACAAATGAAAATATAATAAGACTACTAAACAGTAATCTAGCTCTCGCAGATCTAAATCACCATTAAAGGGTCACATAGGTGTATAATATATACTTACAATGATATAGCAGTACAGTACAGCAACTGTGGATAAATAGGTATCTTTCAATGTATCCTACTTGAAGTACCTTCACATATTTTTGGTTCAACCTTTACAGGCCCAAAGGGAATAAAAGGAGATCAAGGACAATCTGGAGAGCCAGGTCCACAAGGTGCACCAGGTCCAACTGGTAACAAAGGCATCAATGGCGAGCCAAATTATAATGGATATGGATTGCCTGGACCAGTAGGACAAAAAGTACAAATGACTGGTATAGAACATTTTTGTAGAGTACAATAATGCAGAATACAAGATAAATTATGATTTCTCCCTCTTGTTTTGGTTCTTTCTGTCCTCAGGGTGAACCAGCATCGTGCAATGCTGGTGTGTTGGGTCAGAAAGGAGAACCTGGTTCTTTTGGACCTCTAGGTTTACCAGGAAAGCGTGGAGACAAAGGAAACCCAGGGCCTGATGGACAAAATGGTTACTACTTGTCATGAAAATAAGTCTGTTTATAATTTTTTGAATGTGTTGCTCATAATCGTTTAACCTCTTACACCTCTCCTCATCCTCACCCTTCTATTTCAGGTCCAGCAGGCTATCAAGGGCCTAAAGGTTCAGATGGACATCCAGGAAACAAAGGACAGCCAGGACCAACTGGACTTGCAGGTACAATTTCTTAAGATACTTGATTTTAAATATTATACAAAAGAAGAATCCCTTCTACAAAGTAAGCATTGAATTAATCTCCAATCTAATCTCTAATGTTAGTCTAGTCTAATTAGTTAGTCTAATGTAATGCTTACTGTTCTAGTTCAATTGTACCCTGCAGACCTAGTCTTCAATTGCATTGTAGTTTTATCTGAGTCTTTCTATTTTTCTTTTCCGTGTGCCTCAGGTGACCCGGGCCAGCCAGGTGTCGGTGGTTATCCAGGTCTTAAAGGCAATCAGGGCCGGGATGGGATTCCTGGTTCACCAGGGCAGAAAGGAGACACTAGTAAGAGAATCCCGCAGGAAAAATCTTTGCAGCTATCACAGCTTGTATTTTTTCTGTCCAAACCACTGGCCTCCAGAAAACAATGTATTTCAAGGCTATTGTTAAAACTCATGTGTGATTTCATCTCTCCTCTGCAGATATAATAGGAGGGACACCTGGGAGACGTGGTAACACAGGTCAACAAGGTGAGTCTCAGGTAAATGACATCATTCTTTTCAAGACTTGTTTTACATTGCATGTGCTGGAGGTTGAATAATGAGATTGGCTTGACATAATTCGTAACATTGACATAATATTGTGTTTGGTATGTAATCATCGAATGATCTGCATAAAAAGGCACTTTCTCTGTTAATGTGTTCACATTTATCCCCTCAATAATTTGGGCTGTTTTTGTTGTTGTTCTAGATACCAAGTACCCATGTATAAAACACAATCCTCACTATTTGCATCATTGTGGTTTAAAACCAATACAAACAGTTATAGAATTATGGTCTAACGTGATTAATGGTCCTAAATCATTGTCAATATACATGTAGATGCTGCTGTTGACATTAGTGCACATCTGTGTATTTCTATACTGTAGGTTTCCCCGGGAACCCTGGTCCCCCTGGCTTGTCTGTTACAGGACGTTCTGGACCAATAGGAGACAGAGGATTTCCAGGTCGAAAGGGGGCCCGTGGTCCAAAAGGACTACCAGGAATGGAAGGAGCTTGTGTTCCTGGGTCAAAAGGAGACCATGGTCATCCTGGCAATCCTGGTGTCCCAGGTGAGGATGTGCTGATGGAGGACTTGAGGGTCTCACCTATCTTTTCCTGAAAGGGACACATATTCACACCACATTATCAGCACTCATGAAGTTATTATTCAACTATAGAACACACCTTGGTAATTTTTCTTTTTTTTATATATACAAAATGTATTATCACATGTGAGGTCCTGACTTTCTTAGCTTGGTTCTAAGTTGTCGCATCTGTACTCGTGATAACTGAATTGCTCTATCCTCCCTTTTTTATACGCAGGCTATCGTGGCTTACCTGGCCTTCCAGGTCCTACAGGGCCGGGGCGAATGGGAGACAGAGGGGACCCAGGTCCAACGGGAGCCCAAGGCTATAGTGGACCCCACGGAGATTCAGGCCCTCAAGGACCACCGGTAAGTGATTATAACATTTATCGTACTCCCAAAAAGTCTTTCAAAGGACAATTAAGAACCAAGACGCAGCAGGAATACACAAAAATGACTAAGTCCGTTTAAAATAGTTCCCTTTCTTTTTTAACAGAATAACCAAGATGAGATTACTTTTAAGCATCATCTGCATCACATTTGAAGCAAAGTGTTCAAAATCTTTCATGGTTTCATTTGCCTCCGCAGGGTACAAGAGGCAGACCTGGAAACCAGGGACCAAGAAGTGATTTTGGTCCTTCTGGAGGCTTTGGACCTCCTGGTAAGCTATAATTTTAATTACAGCCTAAATACTTTGGTGTTGTCTTCTTCCCAAGACAACACGGACGAGAAACAATCATCAATTTATTTATGTTCACAAAACTAAGATGAACTATAAATGGGGTCGAGAAGTAAATTTGGATATCTGTGATATCCAATAATATTAATCATTTCCTTAAACTCTATTCATTATTTGTGTGTTTTAGGTGTTAAAGGAGACCCTGGATACATCCCTGGCCCCCCCGGGCAGCCTGGGATGAAAGGTTTTCCTGGACCAACTGGTGCGGCAAAAGTTTCTATTATTACTGTAAAAAAACAGGAGCGATGCTGAACCTTTTGATTATATTCCAGACTTAGTACACCTCTATATCTTAACAGACATCTGTGTACTCACAGCAGAAATGCAGTACTCCCCATCATTGTTAGATTACTTGTCTAGCACTGCATTTCATTAACTGTTATCCCATCTATAATACTAGTATTAACTAATCCTGGTCCATGGTACAGGTGTTATGCATTTTGGCAAATTCCTTTCTAAATGCTCATGCCATGTCACTACAGGCTTAAAGGGCAAGGCACGTGTCACGTATGAACCAGGATCTCCCGGCGCGCCCGGTCCCTCTGGTAATCCTGGAGCCCCAGGGAAGACGGGACCATCAGGATCACCAGGACAACCAGGTTCAAAATGAAATTTGAGCCCAATCAAAGCATTGCTATTTAAGATTTGCAAATATTTTGCCAATTATACTGACTCATTTTGTGTGATTTAAACCATGCCACAGTACATGAAACTCAATGCTGTAGCAATTCTGATCTCTGATTTCTAGATTAACTCTTTTTCTATTGCTCGTTAAAACCCTGTTTTGCCATTTTGATGCCCCTTCTATTAGCTGGTTTATTTCTCTATTTTTTTCCCCTTGGCAATTGCAGAAACGTTGTCCAAATTACTCTACACGTGTGTATGACTGAAGCTCACTTTCAACACTAATCCATTGATGGCAATTAATGTTCCATGTGACACTGAATCTTTCTGTCCCAGGTCAGCCGGGTGTCAGAGGCGAGCGTGGTTCAAGCCCAGATGGCCATCCCGGATTTACTGGACTCAAAGGAGACAAAGGAAGAGCAGGACTGCCAGGTGTGTGTGTGTGTGTGTGTGTGTGTGTGTGTGTGTGTGTGTGTGTGTGTGTGTGTGTGTGTGTGTGTGTGTGTGTGTGTGTTGAAAGCTATGTTTCCCTGCGCAGACCAGAACATGTAATATGTCAGGATGATATAGGAGTTTGCATTAAGGTCTGTTTACAGTACACATGACCACAGCATTGTGCATGTGAGGGACTTGGACCTGAGTTGTGTCACACCCTCTGGTCCATATTAACGATTCACTCCTCCGTTCAACAGAGAGCATTAGCAGTGACTGACGTCTACCACCCTACTCCCTAAAAAAAATAACCCCCAACATGTGGTCACTTTATTTGTATTGATACCATTGTACAGTTTTTTGTTTCTTCTGCAGGTCCTGAAGGCAGACTTGGAGACCCAGGCCATAAGGGTAGTCAAGGGTTGCCAGGCATAGGTGGTCCAGGTTATGTGGACAGTTTCCTGATTGCCAGACACAGTCAGAGCACCAAGGTCCCTGACTGTCCTCGTGGCACCACCCTCATCTTCTCTGGTTACTCCTTCCTCTTCATCAATGGAAACGAGAGAGCTCACGGTCAGGACCTTGGTAAGAGCGTGAAAAACCTTCCTCCGTGAAGAGATCTGTTAAAGGATCTGTGTCTTTTCTGTTTGCTTGAGTAATTCCATGACACTGTCCCCCAGGCACCATGGGAAGCTGCCTCCCCCGTTTCTCCACCATGCCCTTCCTGTTCTGTGACACGGAGAGTAACTGCCGCTATGCTTCTCGTAACGACTATTCCTACTGGTTGTCCACTGACACTCCTATGCCAACCAACATGGCTTCCATCACTGGGGATACACTGGCCACCTACATCAGCAGGTGGGACAGGAGACTGCACACATTGAGCATTGGCTAAGCAAATACAAAATCCTGTACATTTTATGTTCTTTTGAAATATGCATTTACAGTATATACGTATTGATATTTTTTACATCAATTACTTGGAACAGATTTAATGTTGATTTCTCTATGCGTGTGTGGTCTAGGTGCTCCGTGTGTGAAACCACCTCCAATGTCATAGCCGTCCACAGCCAGACAACTTTGACACCCGAATGCCCTCAAAACTGGGAGTCACTATGGACGGGATACTCCTTTGTCATGGTAATGAAATCTCAGTTTTCTTCAGCTTCTCAAATGCTATATTTCATGTAACTTGACCTTACTACATTCTAGCAAACGGGTGCTGGAGCAGAGGGCTCCTCTCAGCCGCTGGTGTCACCAGGGTCATGTCTGGAAAGCTTCCGCCAAGTGCCCTTCATCGAGTGTCATGGCAGGGGAACTTGTAACTATTACCCTGACTCCTATAGCTACTGGCTGGCCTCCCTAGACCCCAGAAGCATGTTCAGGTAAACTCTTGACTTCTCTGTTAACAGTCATGGATGCATGCCTGGGGAGGACTGTGTTGTTGACTCACAGCTGATGAGCAGAGGAATTATCTGAGACACAACATGTTGATTTTGTGATAATAATTGTATTCCTAACATAGGGCTTGTGTGTGTATGTGATTTGTTCCCTCCTATAGTAATCCTGTTCCTCAAACAGTGAAGGGACCTTCTCTACAAAGTGTCATCAGTCGTTGTCGGGTCTGCAGGAAACAATGGCAACCAACAGACGAAAGACGCGGGGACAATTTTTAACATTCTGTTTTTCTTTTTTCAATATCGTTTGATTTATGAAAATATAGAAGTGTGAATCGTGTCAGCTGTTTGTAGTCTGTACATCTGTTGGTTACACTGGTGTGAGGCGGAGTCTTAGCTGTGAATAAAATACATTATAAGCAAATTGACAATCACCTTAATTGCAAAATGTGTTGATTTCATTCAGCTTTATGTTTGCAAATACTTGTCTTGATTTGTTAGTGACACATTGGAAGCAGGCCATCCGAGACTTAATTCCCTCCCATGTGTGCCTGCATTGATGAAACACCACTCCTCCTATGTGGCCGGGACACTGAGAATAATTATCTACACAGTGCTGACATGAAGAATGAGGTCACATGTTCATGATACCTGGGGAGGCTGAATTCTTAGGTTTTAGGTTCCACGCGCAAATACTGAGTCATTTGCGCCCTCACGGTAAAGGCATTTCTTTCAGTTTCAGCATGTTAAATGGGGCGTGCAAAGGATTAAAGCTTATGACTCATACGGCTGCAACTTTCTCCAGTCCATTTCTAAATGAACTGTCACAAGCTTTCTCCGTGGCTTCGAGGCAGAAAAGGCACATTAAGATCTTGAGAGATTTATTGTGGAATGGTTTTCACATCCCATCTTTCTCATTTTGGTTTGTCAATTGTAGGAAAAGACATTAAAATAAAATACCAATGAAAAGAAATAATGACTATTTCAATGGTAAGTTAATCTGCCGGTTGATTGCCAATGTGACCAGTGGTATGAAAGAAGCTGTTATCCAAATCAATGAAGATAAATGATAATCCAGAATACCTCTTAAACATCTTATTTCTCTGCACTATTCACTCAGACAAGTATCAGCAGAGCTATACATCCCAAAGGAGCAGTGGTTCAAGCTCACTCATCCATATATGTCACTCCAATCAATACATGCAAACTCTGCATACAGCCAAATGCATAAAGGCACCACAATTTCCTAACAACACTGTTCAAAATGCAGGTCCTTTTTGGCACACATATTGTGTATTACATATTGATTGTTTGGAGTCAGAAATAACAAGCAGCCCTGTGCGCTTATGTAAGAGAGGCAGCTAGCACAAGTCACAGCTGCAGCTTAAGGGAATTAAAAAAACCTGTGATGAAGTATCACACTCGCTGTCAAATGTGTTTATGACATTTTTGGAGCAGAATCACAACTCATTAAAAGTAGAATCCTGGCAAAAAAAGGATAACAAGCAGCAACTCCTTGAAGGACACCTTAAAGGAAATACGTCTTGCGTTGAAGGATGGAGACAGTCGTTAGCGTGGACAGAGACACTGTTGCTGTAGAGTGCTCTCTGTAGCCTTCTCGACAGGATTGTTCTGCACCCGACAGTCCTCCTACTAATTATTTGGGCAGCCGTGTTAGGCTTCTATAATTCTGTAATTGGGTTAGAAAGACGATGTGTTGAAACGTTGATGCGCTTCAAGGTTGTCTCCTGAAAAGGACACAGGTCATTTTTTCCTCCACATCTGCCTTACATAAACTAGAAAACCTCTGTTTATATTTTTTACGGAGACATTACACTCCCAGTGGTTACTAGGTTATTACAGGATCTGTTAAAGCTCATCACATCCAGTCACTTGCAGATCTCATATAGATGGTGACTTTAAAGACTAGGATTGTGAAATCTTCAGACCATGAAATGCAGTGGCTTATTTACTGTATGTGCCATTACAAAACCATGGCCTGTGACAAATGTTACCTGATTTAGATTATGTACAACTGTTAAGTGTAACAGAGCAGAAACCTCATTAAAGGATGAACAGAGCGTAAGGAAGGATGAATTGACCTTTACGACCTCTGCATGTCCAAGTGTCTCTGTGCTGCTCGCTGATTCAACTTTTACGACACAGCATGCTTCATGTAATCATTGTTTTCCATCATGTCAGTGTCATCATGTCGGTGTCATCGTGTCAGCGTCATTAATGTTTTATTTTACATGAGGGCACATTTCACTTTGCCTACAGGGATTTGATTTTAAGATGGAAGGCAGAGATGAGATGTTTCACATTTGCAAGTTTCTGCAATGACAGCATTTATTTAGACCTCTTGTCTCACTTCTAATGACGGCTGTAAATTACATACTACACGCTTCAGTGCATTGATGGGGGGGAAATAAACAAAATTGAGAATGGTCCTTACGCAAACGACCTGATCACTCCTCCTCTTTTGTCGGGCCTAGGTAGCACACGAAGCAGAAACTCGGCGGCAGTGAGATCAGCAGCGGCTGTAGTGGTGTCTTACCAAGAGGAATCATCTTAACCAGAAGCACACAAGCCATATATCCCAAAGAAGGATGGCACACATCTTGTGCGTCTTTGCCCTCTTGTGTTTTGCATTTTGCGCGGCGCAGGATGGAGAGACTCAGCGGGGATTTAAAGACAACCGACTTCAGCGAGACTCCCTGCCATGGCTCGACAAATTACAAGACGAACAAGTAAGGCACTTTTATTTTTTCTTAACACCCTTCTGCATAATGTGCCTAATACCAGGCAACGCAGTACCTCCTCACAACGGTTGAAACCAGGCCACAAGTCCCAGCTATGACCACCCTGCAGGATGGCCTGTCTACTATTTGATATATCTAGAACTTGTGTCTGTACTTGTGCCCACACATTCTGTTTATCACAAACTTTTAAAAGGGTCATTTTATCCCCGGTGAGTTGTGGATGCTGCCAGAGCTACCTGTCCGATTACTGCCGTTCCATTATCCTCAGAGTTGTAGCTCCGTGAAATCACAGATAAGAGTTTAGAGAACCAGCAGACTTTTGCATTTCCCTTTTGGCCGTTGAGCAGTGATTGCAAAAGTTCTGCAGTATTCCATAAACTGAATCACAATGATACAATATTAATTTAATAATATTTTCATCAAGTCAATATTTTGCTTCCTAGGATTCAACAAAGAAACTGAACTTGATAGAATGGCTTTATAGTTTCTACAAATTTGATAACGGAAATATCGTCAAAGGACCTACAGACGCGGAGGAACCGGAGAAGAATCGGCGTGGACTGGGAAAGACGACTCGCAGATTTGGCTGCAGAGTCTTCTTCTGGAAATCCTGGTCTCCCTGCTAACTTCCATCAAAACAATCACATGGATGTTGCTTCTCCTGCATGTCTGTATTATTTACAGTCGACCTAATAGTCTACAGGAAGTGTGAAAAATGTAATGGCCACTAAATATCTAATGTTTGTATGAAGAATTACTGGGGAAAAGCTCCCGCAGAAAACAACAAAAAACTTCACTAAATCTCCTTAATGTGCTTCACTCACCTGTAGGGTTGACTGTCGTATTAGCCGGGCCAGCTGTTACATTTCAAATTGATCATGATTACTCACATTCATGCGTTTATCACACAATATTTCTGCCTACGCCGGCCCTCTTTTGCTGGCTACGGTTTATGTGCTGCATTAGTTTGACTCCAGCAGAGGAAGCTGTTCTTTTCATTGTAAAATCCAGATACTAAAAATGTCATAAATATCTGCATGTGTGTTTGATGTTCTCAGTGATCTACATGATAGTCCAGCAGATCAATAAACCCTCTCGCTTTACACACACCCATTCATTGTCTATCCTTGACGTTCCTTGCCAAGCATCAAAGAAAATCGTTTCTTGTGTAATTGTGCCGTACCTTTGGCATGCAAACTGAAGCCAACAAAATATGCTGTACGTGACATTTGCACATGCATCTGTGTGAGTATTCAATATTCCTATATTTGCATTTCTCCTGATACAAGAGTGCATAAATGTGTCTAATAAAAAATCCCACATCAACGCACTGATGAGCATGCATTTAAGTCGCTTTGCAGCACCGTATATCCTAAAGGCCCATCTGTTTAAAATGCATCCCACTCCCCGCATCTGTATTATTCATGTAGAAATGTGAGAAGAATTTAGTGAGAACTACATAGGGTGTGGAAAAAAAGCAGGTTAGATTGGAAAGAGATTCAGAGCCCTCTCTGAATATCTTTAATAATAGAGATCAGGCCTGTGAGAGAGTAGGAGGAGGACGGGAAAGAGGTAGAAAACTGGATGAGTGTGGGGACGAGAGAGACATTAAAGGAGCATAACTGCAGTCAAAGCTTGGCATAGCATCCTTTCTGTCCCGGGATATTGGAAATCATCGGAACAGCCCCCCCCCCCCCCCCACATGAACCATTGCCGGCACATTAACACGCTCATACTGCAGAGATTCTTCAATAAAGTGTGTGAGTGGGGTGTGGGTGGGCGAGCGGCTGGGCCGGTGGGTTACAGCGCGTGTGGGTATGTGTGTCTTGTGTCTCTTGAGTATCTGTGAGAATGTTCACCTGCGGTTTTCCTCGCAGTAGTCATCCGCGACAGCGGCGCATTCATCACTCAGAGTCAGAGAGGCCTCTTCCGGAAGTAAACCCTTTAGAAACCCATTGTCAAATACTTTTGCTGACTCCGAGCAGTTGATTTGGATGCGAAAGACGCAGATAAAAAAAAAACAGAAACAGCAAGATCAAAGCAGTGTCACAGAGCCTAAAACGAACAGAGACCAATTATTTTTAATGAGAAGAACGGCCTACTTCTGAAGGAGGAGTTCCCTCATTCAGGGAGCGGATGAGAAAAGAGAAACGAGCCTAGAGGTACAGGCCCATATCAAAACAACAGGATGAAAAGAGGTAGACACGGAGCGAGGAAAGATGCCTGGGACACAAGATCAAGAAGATTTTTACTCTGTGCCCATGAGTCTAGAAAAGACAAACAAAGTCATGAACAAGTCTGTATAAATTATTGTACAGGCCATAAATAAGGCCGAGGAGTTCTCTATTAGCTTTGCTTTGTTGATGGTGGTATGGGGTCATACACGGTGTTCAGGTCAGGTGTTTTCAGTGTTCACAGTTAACCTGCTGGGATAAACAATTTTCTGCCCCCACACATACATTATTACATTCCATTACACACCATTTAGCTGATGCTTTTAAACAAAGCGCCTTTCAACCATAAGGATACGAACCATTTCGGAGCAAGGACAGCACAGATACGTGATCTTGTCGAGTGTTTTGCTCTCAGTGAGGGAGGAACAAGCAGTTTGACAGATGCAGAGCGGAGAGTGCGGGTCGGGATGTAGGGTTTGACCATGTCCTGGATGTAAGCTGGACTCGATCCATTCACACAATAGCACGTGAGCACCAGTGTTTTGAAGTGGATGTGGGAAGCCACCGGTGGCCAGTGAAGAGAGCGGAGGAGTGGAGTAGTGTGGGAGAATTTCGGAAGGATAAAGACCAGTCGAGCTGCTGCCTTCTGGATGAGCTGCAGAGGTCAAATGGCGGTAGCAGGGAGACCTGCCAGGAGGGAGTTGCAGTAGTCCAGGCGGGAGATGACAAGAGCCTGAATCAGTACCTGAGCAGCCTTCAGAGTGAGAAGAGGACGTATTCTCCTGATGTTGTAGAGCGTGTATCTACAGGATCGTGTTGTCGCAGTGATGTTGGGAGTCAGGGAAAGTCGGCTGTTGAGTGTGACGCCGAGGTTCCTAGCAGTTAAAGTGGGCGTTAGCACGAAATTGCCAAAGTTGACCGTCAGGTCCTGGGTCGGAGAATATTTTCCCGGAAAGAGAAGTAGTTCAGTCTTGTCGAGGTTGATTTTCAGATGGTGGGCGGACATCCACTGAGAGATGTCAGTCAGACAGGCAGAGATCCGTGCCGTGTCTGAGTGTCTAAGTGAGGGAAGGAGAGAATTAGTTGGGTGTCATCGGCATAGCTGTGGTAGGAGAAGCCATGTGAGCGAATGACAGCTCCGAGAGAGTTGGTGTAGAGCGAGAAGAGGAGGGGACCCAGGACGGAACCCTGAGGAACTCCATGTCACGGACTGAGCCGAGCGCAGCCACCTGTATCAGAAAACTTCCGTGTTTCGCAGGGGAAGCCGAAGGGATGTTGACCAGTTTTTGTTTTGCAATTTTTTGACTGTCCTGACACAATGAATATTTGCACGTGTTTGGAAAACATATATGTGGGGAAAAGAGAAATAAACATCTTTCCGTAGACATCCTGCCTCTTCCCTGACTCTGCCATCGGTCATCTTGCCACACTCCAGTAGTAAGAGGACAAGGTTCCGATACAGATCCTCGCCAGGTTACCCGGTAGGTGCGGCCGTCGAGGTAGGACGAGAGAAGGGAGAGAGCAGAGCCTGAGACACCAAGTTCCTGAAGGGAGTAAATAAGGATCTGGTGGTTGACTGTGTCAAATGCAGCAGAGAGGTCCAGAAGGATGAGGACAGGAGAGAGAGGCGGCTCTAGCAGTGTGGAGTTGCTCTGAGACAGCAAGGAGAGTAGTCTCTGTGGAATGCCCTGCCTTGAAGCCTGACTGGTGGGGTCAAGGAGGTTGTTATGGTGGAGATAGGAGGCGAGTTGGTTAAAGATCGCACCTTCAAGGGTTTTGGACAAAATGGGAAGAAGAGAGACTGGTCTGTAGTTGTTTTCTTCAACAATACAAACCTGATATTTAGACATACGGGTGTGATAATAGCAGATGAATCACAACCAACACCAGGACCAAAAATACTGGCGAATGAAACTGGGCAGAGTGTCATGTCCAGAGAGGTGCAACACAGCCCTCTGCTGATACCCTGTAAAAGCCGGTCCAGTGTCACATTGTGGAGTAGCGCAAAGTTTGGAAAATAACCACTGATTTTATGCACCACCGCGGGTGAGGTGCATGCTGGTCCTGGGTCGAGCTAAACTCCTAAATGCTCCAATTTGTTCTGGTGGATTCTTCAGCGATGTCTGTGGCATGTGCGAGTTGGATGTGTGAGGCATTTATGCATTTTGTGACAGTCATCTGCATTGAGTCAGAATATCGTATTGAATTTAAGAATCAGAGGAACAGGCCGAGATGTTCAACCTGGAGCAGAACGAGAGGGAGCACGTCGCAGGATGACGTTCAGACAGGGGAGAACCACAACAACAAAACCGTTCACAGAGAAGTGAAGAACTGTGGACGCTTTCTTCTTTTAAAGCGCTGCAGCTGCTGTTGAGTGTGTATTATCTTCTGCAGTTTTCGTTTTCACCCGCCGGGGGGTAGATGCTACTGATCCTATTTTTTACTTTTCTTACACCTGGCATACGTTTCCTCCCAATTATCAAATCCTGACATGCTATCATGCTGAGATCTAACCAGCTACAGACTCTTATGAGATTGAGATTACACTTCACGGATGAAAATGTTGGGGACCTTTTATTGATAACCTCTATAACTGTGTGACAGCATTTAAACTGTTAAATGATAAAACAACCATTAAGAAACATATTAATGTTGATCAGTTGAAAAACCAAGAGAGACATCAAACACTACCACACAAAATACAAAATTGACACTTGGGCTATCAAATATTCCATATCCCATGATGTGCGTGTTCTGTAAAGAAAGGTTTCCATCTAAAATCCGTCTTGGAGGGAAGAGAGGGTGATTTGAGAGTCAAGAACCACAACTGAAGCCGATACAAGAGTGGGCAGCGTCCTTCAGGCTGTTTGCTCCCCTTGCCCCTTGAAGACCCTTTTTAGACTGCCAGCTCCCTCGGGTGTCTGAGGAGCCGACCTTGACTTGAATCTTCCCGGTGAACCAGACGGCACATCCATTTCAATGAGCTCGTTTGGGTGGTTACCCACGGTTGAATGTCAGAAAACATGCTGTGGAATTTCGAAGTTCCCTTCTGGATGAATTTGGTCATTTGGTACAAAAATTAAATTTTCCCAACTTCGGTTTTGTGGTTAGCGCTTGTAAAATGTAGTGTTAGCTGTGCTCTGCGTTTACTGCTTGGCAAGCTTGCACACGGGTGGTGAACCTGCTAAATATTATATGTGCTAACGTCAGCATGTGGATGTTGTCATGGTTGGCAGAGCGCCATGCTACCGTTAGCATTTAGCTCAAAGCTAAACCCTAATGTTCCCAGATATGACAAACCTACTTTCATTGAATTATAGTTGTAGTCAATTATGTGTTGGGGCTTTATTTGAAGTAAGGAGGAGACCACTGTGACGTAAGTTTGAACCAACGCCGCAGAAGATCAATTGCAATCAGGAGAGTGCACGTGAGAAAACGTGTTTTTGCTGCAGCGCTCATGCAGGAGAGATGACAAGCCACGTCATGAAAGTCAGGGGGGCCTTCATCCTCCTCCTCCTCCTCCTCATTCTCCTTGCAGACAGCACAGAGGGTCTGTTTCCATGGCAACCGCGGAATTAAGCGCAAAAGAGCGCCATCCCAAAATGACATGTCGGATTTGGGGCCAAGTGACAACCGGTAAATTGAAAGAAGGATTGGATTTCCTGAATTTGAATCGCATGACAACAACGTTGATGGATTTAATCTGTTCATACTTCTTCTCTTCTCTCTCTCGGTGCAGAGAGTGACTAGAATAAGGAAAAGAGCACACGGCTAACTATGGATAACACATTGAATCAGTCACTGCTTATAGGGGATAGTTTTCGATAACATAGTCTTTATTCTTAAACAATCACTAACTTCATTCAGATTTTTAATGCATAATTTTTTTATTTCATCTCACAATTCATAATGCATATATGGGTGTGTTCCAATGCAGAGAACTCGTCTTCAAACATGAAAAAAAAAAATTCTACTTAATATCACAAACAACCAAAGCCTTTGGTTACCCTTTCATAAATCAATAAACCTCTTGAAAAGTGCTTTCGTTTAGCGCTCTCTTCCACCAGCTATTTTTACCTCTTTGCCTTTTTTGTCCTACTTGAATCCTCTCATTTTGCTGTCAACTGACATCAATTACATTCAATTGCATGCGTTACGTCTCTACGTATCTCATTTGCACCAATATAAACCTCAATAAAAAGATACTTTCATATGCTGGTCTTGCCTGTTGACTTGTCAGTTTCATTTATATTATGCTGTATGTATAACTGTTAGGTAGATGCTGTGGAAGTTGAACTAATCTACCGTTACTTGCACCAGCTATGGACCCAGGCACATGGTAGAACACCAGATCGACGATATCTCTGCAGTTTGCTCTTTGCAGCTGAATGTGTGCTATTGACTGTACATACCACTGAATTGGCATACAATTTCCAACCGGACAGAGCAGAGTTGAGAAACTCTTGCATCAAAACGTTGCATAAAAATGTGTTGGACTTTCTCTCTTTCCAAATTTGAAACAATGTTTTTATTTTGTTTTTAAGCTCTCGCCCGGGAAATCGAGCACACATCACCTCTTGCATTCATGCATTGTCCATGCTCATCTCAGCTCCTGTAATCCCTTTTCTGACCTTCCTTACCTTCCTTACCTGGCTAATCTTAACTGTACACTGCTTTTTAATGATAAAAACACCACCGCCCTGGTCCCGACCTCCTTGAACACCACACAGGTGGCCAGGCTTTGTGCGACGGTTGCTGGACAACGAGCGGCCGGGCTTCCTGTCCGGCCCCATTCGTGGAACAATTGTAGGGCTTCCTGAGTTAGACAAACTAATTGGGGATCGAGAATGAGCTATGTAGCGTACACGCCAAATGTACCATTCAATTCACCTGTCAGCATGTTGATTTATGAAAGAGAAGCTTCCCACCACAATGGAGCAAATGCCTCATTTCATGGGTCACAAAACCAGGAGGGGGCGGGGGAGGGTGGAAACTTCATGGGTTACCATGTGGGAGAAAACAAAGGGGAGATAAACTCACCAGCATGATAGAACATCCTCCCCTAAACCTGGCTCAGTCCAGACCAACTGGTTCCTCAATGAGACATCCTGCTTCCATTGCGGTGGTTTTAATGATTGCAACCTGGTCAGGTCCATCAGGCACCCTGTCCACCACTTTTGAGAAATCACTAACACTTTCACAATGAAACCGAACAGAAATCGTCTTAGAAACTAGTCGACACACATCCTCACTGCCGCGCCCGCTCAGAAAAAAACAGCTGGAGTCTTTTATCCATATAGTTCGAAGGCATGAATACTGTTTTATGGTTATATTTTAAGCCGAGCTAACAGCAGAGAAAGGGGGGCCGTGTTTGTTGAGGTGTAAATGTAAAGTGACCGTTTTTTTGGGCCATGGCTCATTTTGCTGATTGCTGGTTGTTATTGTCCCCTTAGCTTTTGGTGAAAATACTTTTACTTACCATTTTTGATAAGTTTGGACTTTACTTAAATAAAATATAATAATCTTAGCAAATGTTAAAGAGAATATGGAAGTGATATCAAAACAGTTTTACTTGACTTTTACCTACTTTCCAACTTCCTTTGTCAGTCTCGTCTGCTGACGAACGCACTCAACCACAGTGATGTGCTTTCACTTTGTTTTTACTATCTTCTAGAGACATGCTGACTGCTCTCCATCATATTGCTTGAATCAGTCCTGTCGTGTCATTATATAGGGGAGTACTTGTGTACTCATGTTAGAGCGCTGGAAACAACCCTATCTGTCCCATTAGTCACACTTTCAGTACACACCTGAGTAAATAACATCCCACCCAAAGCCCTCTGTTTCCATTGGAGGTCCAACACAGAAAACTATCAAATACATTCAGTCGTACCCTCACACAAGAGCAGTTAGTGCATTCATGATCAAACGATGAGAGAAAAAAATTGCTAAGAAAAAAGAAAAAATCAGCGAAACTTTCTTTAAAAATAGAAATAAAGCTAGGATAACAATGATAGTAATTAGAATGATAAGATACAACAGATTAGTAATGATGCGGATGGAATAGTTATTACTGACAACAATAACACAGTAAAGTACATGGGAGTGCAATAGCATTAGAAATTAATTCAATAGAAATCAATTAATTAAAATTAACATGTATTAAAGCTTGTTTTTCACAGCACAATTTGGAAACAATAAATATTTGTGTGAAGAGAGACCACCATTCCTTTGTTTGTTTATCACAGCTTTTTCTCTTTTTTTTTGCATAAAAGGTTGGTCAAGTCCTGATTGAAAACATTTTTTTTTTAAATCCTCTGGTTTGATATTAATTCATCTAAAAGGTTTTCACAGGCAAGAGTTCAGTTCCGTTTTTGTTGTCTTGGGTGTACACTAATAGCTCCTCGTCGTTGCGACACCCTGTTTTCTTGCAGGAGGGATGGTGGTGCGTATTCTTTTTGGGGGGCTCGTAGCGAGTTTTCCTGTGGCCTCTCCCCACGAGTTAGGATGAGGTCACTCCCCCTGCTGGAAGACCCTCCCCCCGCTGCTATGTTGAGTCGTGATGGACAGCTTTTCCTCCGTTCATGGTGGGAGTCCCTGAGCTTTTCCTGGAGCGGTGCTTGTCCTCTATCTCATGCATTGACGGCTCCCTGTACATACAAACTGTGATGGGGAGGAGGAGGAGGAGGAGGAGGAGACAGGAAAAGAGAGGAGGGACTCAAAAAGGGGACAATAGAGAGCAGATGGAAAAGATGGATGTGGAGATAGAGACAAAGTCAAGTGTGAAGCTGGAGGGACACTTTCACAAAGCGGGGAATTTGGGCCATGTGAGCACTATACGAGTTACATGGGATCAAAGACATCTCTCTCAAGAAGAAGGTTAGAGGGGAAGTTTTAAAGAAATTATCCGACACCAGCTAAAGAAATGCACAAGAATGAATCAATGAGGGTCTTCTTCTTGAGTCTGATATAAAAACTGTATATTGGGAAATAGATTTTGCCGGATCGATACCACTCTCTGTGGTTGCTAGCAACCACGCTCGGATTTAATAGAGGTCTGTAAGAGAATAATGCCACTGCTCACCTGTTTTATTAGCTCTGTAAACATTGTAAACATGGGTTTATGGTCTCAAACGCTTTGAGTGTTCTTCAATACAGCATGATGTTTATTTGTAAATGGTGGCAACATTGCGAGTAAAATGCCAAATATTAAAAACCATAGTTAACAAACCAATGGGTGACTTCACTATGACTCCATCCACGACTGGGGTTTAATTATTCTTTAACATACAGACGTAATGACACCATATTCTTTCATCTGTCAGGAAAAAAGTGAATTAGCAAAAACTATTTAGAAATGCCTTTTAGCTTTAAATGTGTACACTTAACATCATATGCCGACCCTAAACCATAAATCTGTCCTATATCTTCAGAGCACTAATTACAATGATGGAACTTTTGGGGGGTTAACATTAGAAAGATACAAATCACAGTAAATGCAAAGGACTGTCCTATCTATAGATAATGCCATGTAAAAAAAAGGCCTTGTCGCTAATATAATCTGAGCAGTCGTCTGTTTTCTAGTGTCCTTTGCGGGGCTTTGTTGGATGAAAGCAACACTTGATAATGCAACGCTTTATCACCTTTAAAGGGCAGCGAGTTTTAACCCCTGAAATACTTAATCACACTGGATTAAATGATAACTAGTTTTCATCCCACATTGTCGTGCAGGATATAAACTTCTTTGGGTACTTTCTGAAGTAATTACCATCATGGTACGCCCACTTTATAGTAAACTGTGAGTGCATGCATAGCCACAAACCAAAATAAGAGCACTTTAAAACATCTAGCCCTTCTCATACCTTCAATGGGCCTCGGCACAAAGTGTGACGAGGGCTTAGTTTTCTTGACCCGGTTGCCCTTCATGACTTGTCCCTCCTTGGTGAGGCCGAGGAACCAGGCCCGACCCGACTCCTGCTGGCGGTACACGGTGGACGAGTAGATCACATAGTAGTTCTCGAAAACAGACTCCTTGAACTTGCACTCAGGTGTGAACATCTCCTGCAGAAAAAGAAAAGTGAGATGGAAGGTTGTATGAATCAATGTATACACAAACAAAACACGATATATTGTGTTTTCGTAGCCGCATGAATGCAGACACAACCAGCAACAGAAGAACGCAACAGAAGGATGATTCTAATTCATTCTCATTTAAGGGTGAAAAAAAAGGAAGGCTGCTACCGTTCCACTGTGCCAATATTGGCTCTTCTCACCAGCATGTGTGCACTGCCAAGGTCAGTAAACATACTGTGTCCACACACATACAAACACGCACACACACACACGGATATCCTTGGAATCTAGAAATTGATAGTCTTATTAGACTAAAGTTGGACAACAGCAAGTCAAGGAGAAAGTCACAGGGGACACACAAGAGGTGGAGAGGACGAGGACCTTGGGAAGGAGCCAGTCGTTTGATTGAGAACTCAAGCGGTTCCACATTATTATTATATGATTTATTTTTTTCATGTAAAGCGTCTTTGAGCATTTTTAAATATTAAATGGATTATTATTATTATTAACAAGACACCCTAGCAGATTTGAGATGCCTTCATTTGAGAACATCTCCCACTGTGAAGCTTTGAAAAGTGCTGTTAGAAGGCAGTTGAAGTGCGACCACTCAGGTTTCCAGTTAGCCAACGATAAATTCAGAATGAAGAGGCTGGATCTTTGAAGACAAAGGAAAACTGCAAGCAGGTGGCAGCTATGAAAAACATCAGGCCTATTTAACCTTTAACCTTAACCTTTCACTCTCAATGTAGGCATTTCACTTTCGCCCAATAGCATGAAACAACCCAGTTTATCCGAGTTGTTCCCAAACTGAGGGGGGCAACCTCATCATAAACTCACACACACACACACACACACACACAGGCAGACAAATAGTGAGAACAAAATAAGGGAACAAAATAAGGTCACGATGTGCCAAGACCCACAGTCATTTGTGACGGTTGTAAAGCGCAATCGATGATAGTCGGTTACAGCTGAAACAGGCGACGATTCCCCAACAACAACGGCACAAGTAAAAGGTAAAAGTCATGTAATGTCATGGTCCCCAAGAACAGAGACTCCGGCAAAAGTATTTGCACTTGTTGTTTGCACAGAAATAATAGTTCATTTTATTTTAGTAAAAGAATACATATAACCCAAAGTGTAAAAGTGAGGCATGCCTACATGCATCTCACAGTACTTATTTTAGAAAAGAAAAACAAATATTTTATTGAGTTTCTATATATATATATTATGCAATTAGGAGAAGAAAAGAAGGTACAACCCACTTGTGGGAGATCCTATATCATCGAGGGGGAACTCGACAGAAAAAGTTTGGAAACCGTGGGTTAGCTAAAGGACTCGCCGTCTGTGTTTGGAAGGTGAGGGCACGCGGTCGGCCGTGCGTGGGAGCGTCTGGTTGGTCGGCGGGAGAGAGGACGGGCTCTGTGGAGCTGCCGTCCAACAGCCGACATTTCTCTGGCTCTGGCACTGGAGGGGGGGTCACACCGGCCCTGTCACACTGCCTGCGTGTTTATGTGTGAACGTATGTGTTTGGGCGGACAGACAATTACACACTAGAGGGCTTTTGTCCCGCCCTCATCTGTTTGGAGATAAAATCAGGCCGGTGCTCTGGAATCCTTCCCTCCCCAATCAGCCACTTCGCTTTGCTGACACGCAGCAGAATCCCCTTCAAATTCATGCACAAGGACAATACTCTGTCACTGTCCACGGGGAGGCTCGCAGCAGTTTGGGAAGCACCCCGGCCGTGGCTCGGGAATGATAAGGGTGGAATGTAAGTGACTTTGAAGTATTTGACAGAGCACCTTGTTTGTGGATGACAGAGTGGAAATGTGAGGTGAAGAGATGTGGTCTGGGTCTCTGCTGATTAATGGGGTCTTCTTAACGGACATGCGTGACGCACGGAACCAGAGAAGGAAGGAAAACACATGTGCACACGTACCCACAAACACGGAAAAAACATGACCAACCAAAGTTTGAGCCGTTGAGTGGTGGGAGCTGAAGACAAATAAGTCCAGTGAACAAACACCGTAAAATATAAATGTTTTAACCGTTTCAGCCCACCGCGATTTTATTGCCAAATACTAATTAGTTTTTACCACCAGTGTTTCCATGTGGGTTAGGGTTAGGTTTGCATTTACACAAGTATGTCAGACATCAGCAAGGTTGCTATGACTACCATGAATATTTTAAAATCAGCTTAAACAGCAGCTTATAAAAAGCTATATTGTTACCGGCAATAAATGATGAAATGTTAACTGATGCCGGCCGGCCATGTCCATTTACACACGTGCACAGCGTTTACAAATTCATCTTTGAGAGCAGCGTGACGGACTCTCGTCGCCTCTTTGACAAGCCTCATAAAACAAACAGTATCATATTAATAGCTCCTCAATCCGCTGGATTTTAAGGAATATAAACATTTTTCAAGACAAACCTTTAATCTCAAAGGATTCAATGATATCAAAAGATTGTCTTTACAAAAATGCTACGAGGATTTGATGCAGTGATACGGCCTGATCAACCCACACGGGGGATTCGTCTGAGAAACCCCGTGGGTGGCTGTCATCTCTTTCTCTGGTTGCCACACAATGTCAGACACATCGCACGCCGACAGAATCCAAGACGATGCGGTGCACTCAAACGGATACGAGTGAGGTGACACTGCATCGCGGGGCTTATGGGGGTGCAGGACGTTGGTAATGTAGAACGAAACACACGGCGAGAGGGCGAGATTTGACGAATTTGAAAGCGGCTTACCAACACATCTGGGTCGAACGAATCCAAAGCCTCCGTGGGAGGAGGGAGGCAGCTCTCCGGCTCTCTACATGAAGGAGCTCTGCTGCTGCCGACAGGCATCCATTTGACTTTGGAACATAAGGAGGGGATATCGGCTCCACTTAAACATGAGCCCGAGAGGCGCGCGTGTCAGAGAGGTCCGGCCTCAGTGAGAACTCAGAGTCTGCCGCTGAACTCATTGTTATTCTGGGAGAGAGGCTCACGTCGGGGCTTGTACAGACGTTACTTAAGCTGAAAAACTGTCTGTCTCCCTTTTCTACACAACCCCCCCCCCCCCTCGCCTTTCCCCTGTTCATCATTTTGTTTGTCGTACTCTGAAAGTCAATCACTTCCAGTGAAGGTCCTGCCCTTAACTTCCTCCAGAGAGGACATACATGATGTATCATTTCCTGATGCTCTTTACTTATTTTACTTTTTTTCTCCCATCACCTTGGGAGCGCCGCGGTTTAGCAGCACCGTTACATACACGCAGTCGTATGATGCGTATGTACACGAAATTTGAGGCAAATTTGCCTCCAAAATTTGAATAATCTTGACCGAAGAATTTCTCATTTGACACTTTTGTCAACTGAACGAGTAGTTGATTAAGAGCTGTAAAACTAATAACTGTAAAAGTGTCACACAAAAGCAACGCCTTACAATGTTGTGTTTACTAGAGATGTGCTGATCATTTTTATGATATTATGATATACATGTATATATTATATATTATCATTCAGATTGAAAAAATGTTGGCTAAATTACCTTAGAAATCTTTAGGCCAATTAGTCAACCAATCAAGGGCAGCTCTGTTATTTATGGCATTTAATAGACTATACGGTGAGGTGACAAAGTAAAATACTTCCATAATTCAAATATCACAAGTTGCAGACAAAACTCCCACTTCACACAGACTTCACTCAAGTTGGACTTCAACGCTCGGAACTTCACCTTGTTGTCTTTGTTCTAGACAGAAAGGATGAAGAAGTGTGATTATCATTCGTCACCCAAACAAAATCGTAAATGTCCCCTTGACCTTCCGCACTAACTCCCTCTCAGTCGTCCTTCGGTGCCTTAAGTGAAGTTTTCACTGCATCGCATTATTTATTTTTCCCGTGACATGAATAAGAAGCAGTCAAATTAGCAGCCGAATGACCAGTTCGGCTGTGTGTGTGTGTGTGTGTGTGTGTGTGTGTGTGTGTGTGTGTGTGTGCGGCCACGGACAGAACGGCCTAGTTGTGATGGGTAGATAAGACAAGTGGGTGGATGCACAGCACAGAGAACAGTAGTTACAACTGTGCAGTAAACTAGGTCATATTGAGAAGTTATAAATAATGGAAGGGAGCTCTTCATTGTAGATGCTCGGCCCCCGCTCACTTCATCGCCCAACACTCCACACAAGCATTTTCACCCTGCTCACCCATCGCTGTATCAGCTTCCAATCTGCAACCGCCTCAACAGTGAGCTCTGCACCCGCAGCTGGGAAAGCCAAGCATCACCGTAAGTTACCGTTTAATGGATGAACAGTATCGGTAAACTCACCAGCTAGACACCTGATACCGAGTCATGAAAGACTGAGAGAAAGGCTCCCCGAAGTAGAGTAAAGACACAAGTCTCGGCTGTCAAATGTGCGCCAGACAAACAAAAACAAGCAGGGACAAACCTTATGGGATGGAGAGAGACCTTGAAGGAGAGAGAGGGTATCGCATAAGGGAGGGATGTGTAGGAGAGAAAAGATATACAACTGTAAAAGTAAATGTCAAACTTCACGATCAATGTCAAACGTCCTCCTTTCCAGCCCTCTCGCAGCACACCGTCTATCACAAACACGATCTCTATTGGTAAATAATGGGAGGAAATAATGCCGCGTTCTGCTCACGCCCCGTGCTTCACATCGGAGGAGACTTTTATTTGACGTAGATGGGTGGGTGGAGGGTTATTATACGCCTGGGAGGGGAATTGTGCACATGTTTATGAATGAATCCGTCTGTCTCGGTGAGTCATAACAGTCTGTCGCACGTCGACCACTGAACTTTTGGGGTAGCGCACATCAGTGGAGAGGATGTGCTCAAGTAATACTGAGCAAGAGACTCTCGCGCTGTCATGAAATGGCGTCACGGAACTCATTTGACTTTTTGAAAAGGTGCAGCGCACTCTTCGTCTGCCTCAAAATGTTGTCTTCTCTGTCCCGGCGGATCGAACAGACACTGAATTCACTGTGTCCTTCACGGAGTCTTTCGCCTCCACCTGCGTCAGCCGAGGTTTGTGGGTAACGCAGCCCTCCCGTCCTTTTCCATTTTCCCGGGGCCCATGAGACTGACGGTTATGTAACCATGCCAACTGGTGATGTATCCTATGCCCCCCCCCCCCCAGCTCCCCTAAAGTATGTCCCACTCCACTGTCCTCATAACATTTGCTCCCCCACTGAGTCTTGAAATTAGTTTTCCTCAAGTGCATTGCTGCCAGTGTGCTAAGGTAATTCCAATCTTTTATAATCATGCAGTGTATTCGGAATATATTATTCACAGCTCAGATTCTATTCATCTAAAAAGGTGAATTTTTCAGTGTTTACATCCTTTTAGGATTTCAAATCAGGATGACCAAGCAACACCATCAGCATCAAAAGCACAATTAAAATGAGTGGATACATAACGAGCCTCGGTTAGTAGCCAGTAAAAGAAGAAGAGGCAATTTAAAAAAAAAGTGCTGAGCACTGAAGTTGATGTCAAATTTAATGTGCAACATGCGCGTTGCTGCTTTGACAACAAAGAGGGGGGAATAAGAGCTCCACAGGCAACACAAAGGCACATCCTAAGAGCTCTCCAATAGAGCAGGATGAAAGAGCGACGAGTCTTTGCTGCTGCGGGAAATTAAAAGAGACAACCAACACAACAAAACCTGACACGTATAAATGAACAAACCCACACAACCGCACAACCGCGAGTGGATCAGAGGGGCCATATCTTACCGATCTGTAGAGCATGCCCTCTCCATTCATGGCAATGTAGAAGCCACTCTTCACTCCCTGGATGGCCACCACTCTCAGACCCACAGGAATAAGATTAAACAGGGCTGCAGAACCGACCGAGTGGGGTTGAGGGAGGGAGGGAGGGAGGGAGGGACAAAAGGGACAAAGGGGAGTCATCAGACAGAAAGCTCAGAATGGGACGTTAACAGCTACCCACCTGAATATAAACACATTTAATGTTTACAAAAGAGATGAAGTAAGAATTACATGGATTTATAATTTTGCTAAATGAAGTGATTGTCTCATTAATTATACACATATATGCTGCTTTTTACACATCGCTTCGGTGTGATTAGACTTAGTGGACATCGAACGTGGTAACAAACTGCACTTCAATGTCAAATAACACTGCGCACATAACGCACATGACCCACATTGCATTTCAAGTGTGGTCTCAAAGATGTTTGTCAATCATCCAATAGCCTTCACTAATTCTGCAAACAAGTCTGATTTCATTTTATCCATTTATTTCTATTGAAAGGTTCTGTTGCCAGTGAGGACTGTGACTTTCATGGGCTTTGCATCTGTGTGAGGACACTCCTTATCCCCGGTAACGGTGGGATGATTGTTCTGCAAGTGGCGATGGGGACGAGAGGGGACGTGACAACACGGGTCTGTCCTCCGCGCAGATTCAATTTCACTCGATAAATATCGACGCGCTGCTTTCGCCTGCCAATGGTTTGAGTCTGCCATTAGCCCCCGGGTACATGTGATACACACCGGCCACTCTTGCAGTTTCGTATACCCTTGAGGGAACAGATCTTCGGGATAGTCCGACTCGGGCAGAATGTGACTCCATTGGCCCCTTCAATTTCTCTTTTCTGCCATAACTCTCTTTTTCTGAGCATTAATACTTGCAGTAAGGGCCTGAAAATATGGCATGCTGGTCCACCATTTTGCTATAATTATAATCGGCCATCCCTGCTCTCTTTTGCCAACATAACTGATAAAAGCTGTTGTTCAGCCCCCCTCTCTTCTTTTTGCAGCTTCCGCGGTTGATGGATTTTATAATTAGTATTGTTAAGAGTTCCAGATTGCTATTCCTCTTCCTTGTTATCCTCAATCTTATCTCTGGACGAGAAAAGAGAGCGACTGGCCTGGTGCAGAGTCGAGAGAAAGGAAGTGCATTGGATGTGAGGAATACTGCCGCAGCGGGATAATAAATCCTGCAGGAAAGGTTTAGAGAAACACTGAGCCAAACTTCATATGCCAAGGGCACGTCTCCAAAACCAGAGAGAAATGAAGATAAGCTGGTCTATACAGCTCTGTTGTTTGAGGAATGTCTTATTACCCCGAATAGTGTCTTAAATCAGATTTCGGTTACTCTCCTCCTTCATGCCCGGGTTGATATTTGAAATTAGTCTCAAGGTTTCCAGCTACTATAAACCGTCCAGGAGCATCAGAGAGGAGTGCGAACTCCGGATACCGCAGGAATTTTATAACCAGCAATATCTTGCTGGAGCTGCACCGTGTGCAGGTAATTAAGGCCGGCGATCAGACGATGACAGTCAGATTAATAACTGTTTAGATTTGAACATGGGTGTTAATTAATTCAATGGTGTTCCACAGGCCCTGCAGTTAGTCAAGCGAAGCACTACCAGTCATGCTCACCGATAAAGCGGTTTTGAACACTGCAGTAACAAATCTATTGTATTACTCCTCACAGTGTGGTGAAACCTTCAGGTTAAAGACGTTTTAGGATTTAATTCCCTTTTTGTGCGTTTCTCCAACTAAATCTATTGGCTGTGCAGTTGTGACCTTGTCTCAGCACTTGTTGTCCACCAGCCCAAGTACTAAAAAAGGAAATTGAAACGGGCTCATGTGGCACCTAGTATGCAGGTGCCGTCCTGCTCCTCAATCCCATCGGTTTCTCTAAACCTCAACCTTAAAATAAATGACTGTATTCCAACTGCAGTTGTGGAAGATGCTGCGGGTCAGAGAGTGGAGTGGTTCAAGGGTGAAGGTGATCTATTATTTGAAAAATCCAGCAGGGAAATCAATAGCTCGGTGCAGGACGTGAAGTCTGGACCTTCTCCGACCATCTCTTGGTCACTTTTTTTTTTTTTACTCTTGCTGTCTGTATCTTTAGTTCTCAAAAACACATTCCTCCAGCTGCACCTCGGGATCCCGCCTTCTCCCTATTCGTGTCTTCTTTCGGACCATCTCTGAGATGTTGGTACCTCATGTAGAGAATTATTCATTAGGTAGGAACAGGGAAGGTGGTATTTTTAGTTTCCGCTGGCTGAATTATTCACTGCAATCCTCCATCCCCGGGACAACGGGACTGCTCGACAAGAGAATCCCCCCCAGGTGAGAAAATCCTCACATACAACAAAAACCTCATCAGCCAAAACCTTTAGAACACAATGGAGGCTCCAAAGAACTACTTTGTGCTAAAGGTGCACGGGGGAAATGCATTATATAGATGTTTTTTACCTTTTTTTGGGGGGTCTGGAGACTTTGTACCAGAGATTTATGCTCTCGTAAAAAAATAAAGACACGATAAACCCATGAGTGACAAGGATAGGGCTTTCTTTGCACTGCATGACTGCAACGGTCCAGCAGCTTCAGCCTCCTTTAGGATTAGCAGCCGGTTTTGGAGAAGAAAGGGTCATGATATGTTTCCTGTCAGGCTGCACTCCAAACAGGGAGTGTTGTCATTATTTGACAGCCGCTCTCGGCTGACACTCATCCCTTCCTTGATCCTTGTTGCTTCCCACAGGAAACTGTTACAAAAGCTGGTGCGTAAAGCTTTAATATATAACATTTAGCAGTTTTTTCGTTTTCTGTGAGAGTGGAAGGAGGTTGTTAGATCTTTATGGGTCGATTCCTTGGAGACGATTTGTCCACGGGACGTCCGCTATGGAAAGTCAATGGGTGGTGAAATATTGCAAAGACGTGAATAAGGGGAGGGATCTATGTCACTACAAGTGAAGCACAGTTGGTTCAGGCAATGAGTTATTCCAGGAAGGAATCTCTGCTGTGCCAATCGAACCCGCCTCCGAGCCAAATCAATCAAAACAACGTGCCGCTTCCAATCATCCAATGTAGAGTTAGGAAGCGTTTTACTTAAAGAGACCGCAACACAGATATTGAAATATATTTTTAGAAATAGAAATTACAATACATGATGCTCCGGGAAATAATGTATTTACTTACCGTGAAAGGCATACGTTTGAGAAAACTATACACTCCTCTATATTGCGTAAAAAGAAGCTGCAAGGGGGCATTCTACCTTGTTGCGGAATATAGTAAACAGTTCTTCTGTAATAATCATTTTTATTATTTATTTTATTTTGGAGTGCTTCGGTTAAAATTTAAAATGATAAAGCCGGGCTTATTAAATGAGGTAAATAACCAAGTGACTCATTGCCATTAAGTGTTTCACTCACTGTTGTCGCTGTTCTCGTCCTTGCTGCCGTCGATGGTTCCATCCGGCTGCATCTGCAGGTAGAAGCCCTGCTGGCTGAACAGTCGGGTCACGATGCCTTTCAGCTGCGGCTCTGGAACAGACACACGCACAAACACAAACACACACACACACACGCACACGCATGCATACACACGTACCGTCGGCCGAACCACAGCCCCATCCCCACCAAGAATATGTCAGAACAGCATCCTCAACATTGTGACAGAAACACCTGTGCTTTTAGCAGAGTGTTTGCCCTCTCACTGCTCTTCACATCGAGAGGTTCAAAAACGCTGACACAGTTTGACAGAAAAAAAAAGGGACAGTGTTTGATTAAGTGAAGAAGGCAAGATGGCTGTGAAAGATGGAGAGTACCAGCGGAACAATAACAGACTTTTCACCCTTTAGATTCATAAAAGCATTTGAAATCCCTTACCTTGCATATTTCATGTCGGATTATTTACACCATTTAGAACGACAGGTTTCAAATATCCTAATTCAAATAGATAATGTAACAAAAAGGACATTTAGTAAGGGAATCTGCCTAATAACATCAAGTAAACGCTCAACGCTTATAATGAACCATTACACAAATTGTATTGTTCTGTTGTACAGCGTCCAGGCTCAGGAGTTGCCTGCTAACTAAAAACCCTGTTGAATACCAATAGGACTGTGATGGACAGTTTGTAATGAATCATCTGTCTACTACTTAATCCTAAGAATGGCTGTTTGATGGAAAGGCCTTAACAATGACAACACCATGACAGAAAATCAATGCCTTACTGCATCTAAAAATACATTTTCCATCATTTGGAAACTAAAGTTTAACTTCATAACGTTTACTAACATGCCAATGGTTTCTTTATTTGGTATGAAGCAACTGTGCATTTCGGAGTTGATATCGCCGTGACATCTGGCTGCTGACCAGGGTTCACCTCCAAGCTCCCCTCACTTCAGGGGAGCGGGAGCAAACGGGGATTAGCCCGGGGAAAAGAACGACTCTCGGCCTCAGTGCCGGGAAAAAGGAGACGTGTAAAATGGGTTTATGAAGGGGAAATGTACGAGCGCTCAGGGAGGTCTTTCGATTTTGTGGAAAGGCAGTAGTCGGAGTCAAAGGAAAACATTAGCAAAACAAGACTTAGGCCGATGCTTTTGACAGGGAAACTCGGGATGTAGTTTCTTTTTGCCAAACAAAAGACAAGCTGACCGTAGGTGTGTGTAACCATGTTCAGGTTTTTCTTAAGGTTTATTGGAATCATGAATCACTGAACTGTTTTGTTTTTAGCAACGACAGAGATTTTTCATCTCGGATATGAAGCATCAGCTCGGTTGCTGGATGCTACTTGGTCCTTTGTTTATTCCCAGCGTTTTATCCCAATTGAATCGGTGCTGTTTCGTTTCAAGCGGCTAGAAACACATTCTGAAAGAAATCTTTCTTCGCAGGACTCACAGCATGTTATGACAAAATGATGTACGGGATCGCAATAAGGGGATATGAGTGAGCCTGCCGGTCCGCGGCGGTCCTACCAAGACTTGGCGGTTATGCAGTCCAGTTTTCTAACTCGGCATCCGGCGAGAAGAGCGTGACTAAAGGTCGAGGCGGGTCGTCTTTAACAGCAACAGCCGTCTTTACTTGAAAGCGGCTCCCTGTGGTAATTACCGCCGCATATGCCCTTATTTATATTGCACGGAAGAAAAGTGAAAGCCCGGGTTCACCTCAACAGTACATCATCCTGACCATCAGTCCCTGATTCACCTACTCCGGGGATGGGGCCATCCATTCCTGAGACAGGCCCTTCATCATCCATCACAGGCCTGGTGAGGAGAGCGTGTGTGTGTGCGTGTATTTGTGTGTGCGCAATTACATAGGAGTGTACACTTCCATAAATTAGGACTTCAACGTGGGCACGAGCGATCGCTGACAGCTCATCAGATACAATCATTTAGCAGAGAGCTTGTGTGTGTGTGTGTGTGTGTGTGTGTGTGTGTGTGTGCAGGTGTAAACAGACTTTGTGTCAAACTTCAGAATTTACAACATGTTTTTTTGCTAAAATAAATGTTTTTAAAGAAAGTATTTCAGTGGCAACATACAGCAAATCATTCTGTGTGTGTGTATAAGCCATTAAAACGTCAATAAATTTACTTCATACCAATACAGAAGGACAAAAACATTCATGTACGTCGACAAATGGCGTCATGACTATGAAATGCAGAATGATCATCGCTGGATCCTCCATGGATCATCACATCCATGGACACCCAAATACACTGTTAAAACCTCTGCTACATTTACACAGCTGTACTTAACACACATTTACAGACACGGAACAAGTAGCGAGGACAGATAGGACGGACGGACTGACCCGACATTGACTGACGGACAGAATGAGGCAGAAACCAAATGGGAAGTGGCAGAGCCAAAGACAAAGATTGAGAGGGGACAGAGGAGCGACAAACAACTGGCTGGAGGAGATCTTCAGCTACGAGAAAAGAAAGCAAGTACGAAATTAAGCGATAAGAATTCCAACAAAGCCACACAGAAGGAAGGATGAAAGAAGAGAGAACAGATCAGCAAGGGAGAGGGTTGTCGCCTGTCACACGGGGTGTTGCCCCCCCCCCCACCCCAACAAACCACCCTCCCTCTCTGCCACCACCCCAACCCACCCTACCCCCCTCCCCCTCCCTGGCCGAGGGGGAGTCGAACATGGGCGCGAGATGGGGTGGAGACGGGAGGAAACACAGCACACACGGATGGAGGCTGAGCTACTGACCTAGCCTGCAGCCCTTATGGGACACCTGTGGAGGTTTCGAGGGTGCATCTTACGAAGTAGGGGGGGGTGAAAGGGGGTTGGGGGGTGGGGGGGGTAGAAGGAAAAACAACAGTCTTTTAAACAGGCAGAATTCATAAATTCTCCAGCGTATCGGCTGTTTAAATGCAAATATATACGGCAAGGCATGAGTGGAAAGATAAGGACCAGTTATAGATCAGTTATACAGCATCGGCTCTGTTTGGGTCGTGGATATGAGTTATCTACCTGCACTGAAGGTGTTTGGAGGCCTGACTGCTTGTATTGTTATTCTGGCTTGCAATTCTTTCTCACTGAGATTGTTTTGTCTGTCTGATAAGACGGTGCGACATGGTTTAAACTGAGTCTGGCCGGATCGGTGTCTGTCCCCCTTCTCGCCATAAAGAAATGACGTCTCCCTGTCTGTCCTCCTGCCTCAATCACAGACAGATTAATGTGGATTCGGGGACGGCTGGTGGTCTGTGCAGCAGGATAGAGCCACGGGAATAAAAAAAAGGAGAAGGTCCATACCATGGTAGTAAGCACAGAGCCTATCTCTATCATTACAGCCAGAGTAGCTCTTAATCACTGAGGCTGTACCTCCCGTCACTGCAGTAAAGCTCCCTCTTGGGGAAAAAAACATTTACCATTAAAACATTTAATCTCAAAAGAGCCTTGGTGCACTGCGGTGCGAATTACCTCCCCTCGCAATCTGCAGTAATACTGAATTATGAAAATGTAAGCGGCATTTACACGTGCATTCAGGTTACATGTGTTTCAAGGAGAGGGGGTGCAAACAAAAAGTGTGACAAATCGAAGGCTTCGCTGTATGAGATATAGCTGTGGAAACACAACCTGCTCAGGCTTCTATAGGACACTGTGGCATTTTTATTCTCTTTTTTTCCCCAAGGTAACTAACCTGCCTGTATTGGTAAAGGGGTGGAGGGGGGTAGGAGGGGGGCGTGGTGGGTCTACAGACAACAAGAACACCCAATGGAACAGGTGGATCTTTTGCACCTCGCAGAAAATCTACCTTCCCCTCCGGTTCATAAGGAAGTCCTTGACTGCAGTATAACTGTCCGAAGGAGGGCGGGGTGGGGATCTAAGTGCTGCGCCGAGCGCACATCACTAAGAGGGGGGAAAAACTAAAGAACTGACCTGGTCGCCGCCGAACGGGTCTCTTCTTGCCGCTGCAGAAACGGACTTTGCTGAAGACCCCCAAGAAATGCCTCTCGCAGATCGAGCGGGGGTCTTTGCTGGGGCTGGGTCGACGTTTCGAAGTAGAGACCCGGTCGCTGTTCGACTCCCTCGCCTGGCGTTTCTGCCGGATCAGGGAGCTGGCGATCGCGGCCATCTCCCCGAACCGAGTCTGAGAACCGAGAGTCTATCGTTCGGCGGCGGTCGGATCTTGGTGCAGCTACTTGGCGCAACAAAAAAAAAAAACGAGTGAGACGATTCTGTGTTTGGCGTTACGGCCAAATGTGATCGCGATCGGAAAATCCTCCCGAGCGTCAACGCGCCTCAGACGGCCGCCTCGTGGGAGGACGGTCCGGGGTATGTTTCACTCAGGGCTTCGAGCGATCGCATAGGAAGCATAAATCACCACGGGGGGCCAACACGTGAGCCGCGGAGAGATGCAACTGAGTTGTTAAGTTCATGCAGCTGAGTGTCATTGGTGGGGGGAGGGGGGGGGGGTCTTCAGGTATTCCAGGTAAGGAGCGCTGCGTGTGGCTTCGTAACCCTCATCTGCGCAACCAGCCTCTCCTCGGGTTTCGCGACGGCCGTTTAAATAATTCGCGATGACCCAAATCCATGCACGTGACGATCATGCGTGATAGGAGGAACGATCCGAACTTTTTTTTTTTTTTGTCTTCAACAAATGGAGTTTCCTCCCCTTAATTCATGACTTCCATTCACGTCGATGAACGACACCGTCAGCCGCCGGTCCAGAGACGAGGTGGAGGGGGAGGATGGGTGGACGGGGAGGGGGGCGATGCATGAACCCAGATATGTGAACCCAGTCACCCGGTTCGGTCGAATCCTCGGCGGCAGAGGCTGCGCTGCGCGGATGCTGCAGAGGTGCGATTTAAGGCTGCACGGAGGGATGCGCGTCTGCAACGCAACAATTAGTTGAAGCGAACACAACGCCGGAGGGATGCGGGTTCTACAGCGCACAAGAAGCCAGCGCAGAGATGATCAAATTAAAGATTATTTCCACGGCGTCCTGATTGCTGTCGGGGTGTTACATCGCCATGAGAGAGTGGACGGCCACGGGCAGCTTCCCTCACTCCCTCTCACATTCCCTCTCCCTCTCCCACACTCTCTCTCCCTCTCACACTCTCTCTCTCTCTCTCTCTCCCTACCCCTTTCTCTCTCTCTCTCTCTCTCTCTCTCTCTCTCTCTCTCTCTCTCTCGCTCTCGCTCTCGCTCTCTCTCTGAGCGGAAGGAGTGCTGAGTGTGCGGAGCGTGAGGTGAATTGTTTGGATGTGTTTCCTATCTGTTATCTCGTGTGTTTTTCGGCGTGGTTTCTGGTGTGGTTCGTGGGGTGAATGCGTGTTGGTGTGTACGTGTGACTTTTCTTTCTTTTTATGTGGTTTTGTCTGCGTTTGTAGCCGGTCGGCATGTCGGACCTCACGGGGCTGACGCGGAAGCACGGCGTGAAGCTCGCGCCGGGCTTCGCGTGCTCCGTGGAGGACTGCGGTCTGGCCGTGGGGGGGTTGGTGGGTCACGGGAGCGTCAAGTCCGCCGCGTGGATGAACCGCGCGGTGGTCATTTTTGTAGATAGTGTGGAGAAGGCGCGCGAGGTGGTGGCGAGCGGCGTGGTGGTCCGCGGGGCGCACGTGCCCGTTCTTCCGCTCGCGGTGCCGGCCGTCAGGGTGACGGTGGCGAACGTTCCGCCGTTCGTCCCTGACGGAGTGCTGCTGGAGGAGCTGGCCAAACATGGGAAGGTGGTGTCCCCGCTTAAAAAGCTGTCCTCGGGCTGCAAGTCGCCTTTAATGAGGCACGTGGTGTCTCACAGGAGACAACTCCACATGGTCCTCACCAAACCCCA